TTAATTATTTTGTAATATATGATATTAAATTTTGTCCACGGATTAGATGGAATTGATCCTTGTAACTCACCAGTCACAAGTTTGATCGATCCGATGATTGATTATATTTTTAGAAAAAAATTTTAAATTTTATTTTTTTTGGGTCAGTCAAAGCTCCACTTTAGGAAACATAGTTATAGGACAAATTAAAGTAATAAATATAAAATATTCCGTGAGGAGATAATAAAAGTAAAACTAACTTGGAGAAAAAGTTTGGAATTTTTAATGTAAAGAGTTTATTTAATATGTGTGTGGTGAGATGGGAAAGAGACCAATGGAAGAAGTTTTGGCTTCACGGCCAATGGGATTCAACGTTCTAAGTTTATTTTAAATGGCAATTTAGGTAATGAATGGTGACATGGTAATTGTGTATTTCACAGTGTTCTAAAAAGCGGACTAGGCAGTCGCCTAGGCCCCGACTAGACACTAGGCTCTCATGCGACGCCTAGATTACCGCATTGACCGCCTAAAATCACATAGATCTTGTTTAATGTATTTTTTCAATTTCAATTAGAGATTTATTTTTATATATAGTTATAAATATTCATATATTTTTTAATATAAATATAAATAAATGTTTTATCTAGTTTTTGTTTATAATTTCATAATTTTTAGTTTTATATAGATATTTTATATAACTTTTATATATAATATTATATTTATAATTTTTTATGTTATAAACGTCTAAACCGCCTAAAAAATCGCCTAGGCCCCGATTAAGCGTTCTAGGCGTTAGGCACTGGGTCACCGCCCGCTTAGCGTCTAGCGCTTTCTTGAACACTGGTATTTCACCAAAAAAAGTTGAAAACCACGTTTGATACACCAATCAGCATTTATTCTATACATTTGTGTTTTTGTTTTTTTTTCTTTTTAAAGTATATGCGTTTTTCGAAGAGAGGTAAAAAACCTTTGGACCGCCTTTCTAAACTAGAACATGTTTTTACCCTGTGATTCAAAAAAAAACGCAATGGGTTATATATATTATTATTTTTTATTTTTTTATTAATAAAAAGGGTGATTTAGGTGAATAACCAAAAAAAAAGAAAAATTAGTTTTTTAGAAAGAAGGTAGAGAGAGATAGGGAGAGAAAGAGAGTGAATAGGAGGGTTAGAGGTTAGATATTTAATTTTGTTGTTTTTTTAGGTTATCTAGTGCAATTTCTCTAATAAAAAATATCTATATATGTGTAATATTTTTAACCCTAAATACATATATCTCCCTCTCTCTTTTTGGACAACATCTTTCCTCTCATAAAATTTCAATTAATATTCTACTTTTTATGATTGAATTTTTTAAATAATTTAGCAATAATTATGTCAAAAAATTTAATATCGTAATTTAAATCAATTTGTATATTTAAGATTCATAAATATATGAAAATATTTCTTCATTACTACAAAATAATCACTAATTTATAATTATTGTGTAACGCAAATAGTTTTTTCACCAATCGAATTTTATTCCGTACCGCTTATTTTGTATTAACTGCACTTGTCCCGCCAATATATTTCTCACATACGTACCGTAGTTGAACCGTCCCAAGATATAATGTTCACATTAAAAAAAGAGTAGTAATGGCTACAGTGGGATTACATAATTTCATCAAAATTTCAAATTTCTCAAATGCAGATTTCGCAGATGTAATGACAGAAACAAATATAAACCACTGAGATTTTGAGCATGATGTAGGTGACATGGATGCAGCAGAGTTAGCAGATGGAGAACATATGACGCAAATAAGAGACAATATTGCAAATATGTTATGGGAAAATCAAAATAATAGATAATACTTTTTTTTAATATGTTGTACTTTTTTTATGATGAAACTATTCAACGGTATTAACAATATGTATGTTAAAAAATTAAATTTATATTTTGATCAATTTTTGTATTAACGGTTTATAATTATATGTTATTATTTTTTCGTTAACAAAAAAAAATTAATTAATCATTATATATATATAATCTATAATCTGGACCGCTTATTGATTTGTTACCATTCAAACATTTTATTATATACCGCAATTAGTTTTTTCACCAATCAAACATTATTCCGTACCGCTTATTTTGTACAAACCGCACTTGTCCCGCAAATACTTTTCTCCCGCACGTACCGCAGTTGAACCGTACCGCACTATAATACCGCTTTTCCCGCACAACAAAAAACGCTGTTACCATTCGGACCCTTAAGCTTTAGACTTTGATTTTTGTCATATCTATAGTTTATACTTTTGATGTAAGATGGTAATGTAGTAAACTATTAACAAAAGCCTTTTATAAGAAAGCTTATATTGTAATCCAAATGACCAAATCCTGTTAGTTCATTGTTCAACCAATTAATTACAACGATACTATTCAGTGCTACTAAAAGGAGTATGAGTCCAAATATTAGAATTAAGACCAAGACATGAAGCAGGAATATAGTCTAAAACATAAAAATTGCTTGAAAGAGCAAATATAGTTTCACCTGAAACTTTCAATGTTTTGAAAGCTCAAAAATTATCGATGAAAATTCTAGTTAATTTTTTTCCCAATATTACTATTTATTTTTGTAAAGTTTTTGATAGCTGGCAATTACTCATCGAGTTTAAACTCACATAATGTATGTTGACAGAAACAAGTCACTTCTTCTCTACAATTTTGTTGTAAAAAATAAAACCATTTAATTTAGATTTTAGATATTACAAATAATAAAATCAAAACTAATCAACTAATCTATGATCATACATTGTCCCTTCTTATTAAAGCAAATTATAATATATATATATATATATATATATATATATATATATTATATAGCCCGAAATACCAATTCTCGAAAATATTTTGATCAACTAAGCTGTCTAGCCATGCAACGATCTTCTTCTTTTCCTTTGGGGCTGGGGCGCATTGATCTCAATCACATAACACAGCCAAAATAGAGTTATTGAAAAGTCTCGTGGTGTATTTTGTCATACTAGTTAATCTTTTTTTTTTATATGGAATTTGTGTGAACCCTAAGATTCGAAATGTATCGGCTGCTAGTCCTCCGTGTGACTTGAAAGTCTCCGAAAATGACAGAGTGTATCTGGCGGCGACAACATTTACTAAATGATCTTCTTAATTATTTCTTGTAATTAATTGTATCCCCAACTTATGTACAAGACTCCAAATAAAAATATACTCCATTTGTTTTTGAAAGTTTGATGTTTTAGAGTTTATATATATATTAAAAACCAATCATGATTTAATCATTTAATAATTTTTTCTTTTTATTAAATATTTTTAATAAACTATGAACCAATAGTAATCTAAAATAGTTAATTATTTGTAATTATTACGTCTTGAAATCTACGATTTGTTAATAAAAAGTAAAATAAAAAGATAGAAAATCAATCTTTGTGGAACAAACCTAAAACACTAGGATATCAAACTTTCAGAAATAGAGGAAATAGTACTTAATATTTCCCGATTTGGTCTATATCCCCGTGTGAGATCGGATTGTTGATTTGTCGTTGGTACGACAAAAGAATTTGGCCTTACGGGCGTATCCTTTAAGTTTTTGAATTTTTATAACCTTATCGCCTTATTTGACCCTTTTGCTTTTGTATAAATAAAAGAAAATGTTTCAAGAAAATGTCAACTGGCAACACCATAACAAATAGTTTAGAGATTTGAAAATTTCGATTCGATTCTCGGTATATGATTACGTTGTTATGTAACATAAATTAAATGAAAATAAGACTTAAATTATCCAAACTTTGTTTTATTTTAGTCTTTATCGGGATTTAGACTATCTCATGTACATTCACATACACATACACATTTATAATCCTGTTGGCTAGACTTCAAAATTATGACGTGTATGCACACCACACCCTGGTCACTATTAATGGAAACTATTGAGTTTACATGTCCCAATCAAATATGAAACAAAGAGAGATAAAGCTGACAAAGAGAAGGTTTGAGGCTTTTTTAGTCAGTTTCTCGGTAACCAAACATTTTCAATGTGTTAATCATACATTTTCAAACGTTCACTGAATGATTGTTTTCGTTATAATCAGCGTAATACTCCATGTGTTTGATTGTTCTTGAATTGTAAACACAAAATAAACGAGGATTTGACTTTTAGATATATCTTGTTCATACTCCATATAGTCGGGCGATAAATGAAAGAGTGTCTGGGGATCGATCGTAGCATAGTTTGATACATTTTATTGGCCTCTTACATTGCATGAGAAAAATACAGTGGAGTTTTGAACAGCCCATTAGAGTAGCTTCTTGACCCATTTAAAACAGGCCCATTCTCGAGAAGCTCTAGTTGTTCTGTTTCTCTACTCTCTAGTCTTCTTCTTTGCAGCAATTTTCAGAAGAGGTTCATTTTATTTACAAGTGAAGATTATATTCTTATAAACTACTTTTAAAATATACATAGTTATAAAGGAGAATTGTTTATGTCGTCTACGATATTTAAGAAGATACTACCATATGTGAACCAAAATCTTGACACATACCAATAATACAAATATGAACCACTAAAGTATAACTCTTGTATATAATTTAAACTTGTTCACATTTTTTTGAGTTTTTTTTTTTTAATATTATCATTTCGTTGATTGTTATAAAGATTCATATATGATGCTTTACCCGTAAATTAGGCTTTATTGACCTATCTTTCTCGTTAGTAATTTAAACTCTTTGGTGCACAAAGGACATGTAAAGTCCCCACTACAGCACATAATACTGACTATTCGTGGCATTGTAACAGTAACGGTATAAAGTATTTGAAATCAATCATCTCAACAGTATCAGTATGCATGCTTCTACATCATGTTACTTTTTATGTGTAGACTTACTATTACTAAATCATCTTTTTGTTAACGCCTAGAAAATAACCTCAGAAAGCAAAACATATCATTTTTTTGGGTAATTCATTATCTAGCTGTTGAGACTTGAGAAGAAAAAAATAAGATGTAGAAACGCATCGATTGGGTTCTTCATTACACGTGGGCCCGTTTTTTGTTCGCTCAACCAATTATACCAGCTCCCTCTATTCCCTTCTCCTTATCAACATCATTTACTATTTTCATAAATTTGGATCTCTTGTTTCGCAATTACATGAAACGTAATACTAAATTCAGCTTAGTTTACCACCATTTTGGTGAACACACTAATTAAGGAAGAATCAATCACTTGAAAACAGAGAAGACGAATGTACACGCATGTATAAATTACATATAAAATTACAACAAAAACAAAATAGTACTAATAACTTAATACTAAACGAAAAAAACATCCCCTCCACTTACACATGATCACACCTATACATATACCATCAAACTTGCTCTCGTTCTCTTCTCACTTACACGATCACAAAGAAGAAAAATGAGAACTATTATGGATTTAGGAAAACAAAAAAGTCATCTACAAATCATTGATTCTCCGACGAACGTTGACTGTGCCCGTGAAGTCGGACTCCGAAGAACGCTCCGTTCACTCATCGAGTGGGTAATCCCATATTGTTGCACGTACCAACCTCCTCCTTCCGACCAAAACGACACCGTCTCTGTCTCTTCATTCACTTCTTCCTCCGACCAATCTGGCGTCGTCGTAACCGGCACTTTCTTTGGTCACCGCCGTGGCCATGTCAGCTTCTGCCTCCAAGAAGATACTCGTCCCTCCTCTCCGCCTCTTCTCCTCCTCGAGCTAGCCGTTCCCACGGCGGCTCTCGCTCGGGAGATGGAAGAGGGCTTTCTCCGCATAGCTCTCCGGAGCAAAAGCAACCGCCGGTCTAGTATCTTTAACGTTCCGGTTTGGTCTATGTACTGCAACGGCAAGAAAGTTGGATTTGCGGTGAGGAGAGAAACGACTGAAAACGACGTCGGATTTCTCAGGCTGATGCAGTCTGTTTCCGTTGGCGCAGGGGTGATTCCGAACGGCGAGACGTTGTATTTGAGGGCAAAGTTCGAGCGAGTCACCGGATCGAGTGACTTGGAATCGTTTCACATGGTAAACCAAGGGGGTGGTTATGGACAGGAGCTTAGCATTTTTCTTTCAAGATCGTGAAGTAATTAGGGAAAATCTAGTTATGATCGATGTTATTTTTAATGTTCGTTTTTGTGTATGTTACTAGTTACGACTTACGAAATCGTTTTTACGAACATTATAAATATAAATCAATTCATGTGGTATATGGGAACATTATATTGAATAGTCAACAGTGATAAATTTATAACAATCATATACTATAAGATAACATGATATAATTACTAATATTAAAATATTCAAAAACTATACACGTATTAAAATAGTAAAATAAGAAAATTTAAATCATAGTATATATTACTAAACAGAACACATCCTGATGATCATTCTACAAAATTTTGCAAATATATAGTAGAATATTCGGTATCGCCTACTAGTTCTACCAATTACCGTTTAGGACTGATTACCTATCCAACACCTTGACTTTGATTTTTTTTTTTTGTTTTTTTTTTTTGACAATGATATACATCATGATCAATATTGTTTACACATAATTAAATTTTTAATATGGAAATATAACAAAAATTAGGTCCACATAATCTTACAAACTTACCGTTTAGATTAGACTATCACCGTCCGATATCTCACAGTTGCAACGTGATAAAAATAAACGGTCCAGATCTCTCGAACGTTCTAAGATTTTCTTATTTTTTTGTCAACCCTAATAAGAAAAAGAAACAAGCGTTGAAGAGAAAAGGAAACAATCGAAAGTTTCCTTTTTTTTGAAGAAGCTAATGCTTATAAATAAAAACCTGAATCTCCATGACATCACTCATTCTCTCATCTTCCTTGAGATATCAATATTCATTCTCATTCTCTCTTCTTCTTCTTCTTCTTCGGTACCATAACAAAATAATTCTTCATCTTTCATTCTCTTGTCTTTTCTAAACACAACTATCGTTTTTGATCGGATTCTCTCGTCTTTTCAGAGATTGAAGTAAGCCGATGATCTATGCAACGATTTCATCCGTAGGATTGATCGGAGGAAAACATCTTGTTTCGTGATTGATCTCTATCCTCTGTCTTCTGTCAATCGGGTCTACCCTAATTTCACCGTTCTTGTTGATCCATTCTCATGAGATTACGAAGAAAAAACAAAGCGGCAAAGAAGATTATGGAGACAGGGAGGGTTAGTGAAGGCGACGACCAGTGCAGTAGCAGTGAAGAAGGACTTGGCAATTGAACAGAGCAGGTTCAATGGACTTGGTAATGAAGACGAGGGCGATAGTTTGAGTTTCAACAATGTCACGATCAACAACTACAGAACAGAGCAGTGACGAACAACTTGGCAATGGGCTTTTCTTGTGATGGCCCAAACAAAGTCCAATCAGGTATAATACTTTCTTTACTTCTTTATTTATTTTTTCAAACAAAAAGTTTGATATTTTTTTCCTTTTAAACATTTTTTTTTTTTTGGTAAGTGTTAAATTTTTAAATTTTGTGTAAACTAATTGGATACAACCTCTAAACCCCTAAGAAGTGTTATAAGTTCAATATGGTTTACACATAATTAAATTTTTAACACTTATTTTTTTAAAATATTTTGTTTTTTTTTTTGTTTTTTTAGAAGTGTTAAATTTTTTAATTTTGTGTAAACCAATTGGATACAACATCCAAACCCCTAAGAGGTGTTCTAGGTTCAATATGGTTTACACATAATTAAATTTTTAATACTTGTTTTCTTTAAATGTTTTTTTTGTTATCTTTTTTATAAGTGTTAAGTTTTATAATTTTGTGTAAACTAATTGGATATAACATCCAAATGTTGAGAATCTCAAGACAATGAGATTAATGCTCTTAGAGAGCTTATTAACATAGAAATATGAAACTGAAAATGAGATAGCTCATATGGAGCTTTATTCAAATGTAAAAAACAGAGAAAGGGAAAGACTTTAGGTTGTCTTCAAGAACAAAATAGGTTTTGATTTGATATCATAAATGGAAAGAGGAGAATTGCTCAATGTGGCAACTCTCTAGGTTAATCACATTGTTCTTCATTACATGACTATTTATATAAGAGACTACTTGCTTAGATAACCTAATTACATGGGCTTGTGGATTTCTCATGAGACTCTTCTTGGGCTTCTTATGGACTCTCTAATACCAAACCCTTAAGAGGTGTTCTAAGTTCAATATGGTTTACACATAATTAAGTTTAAACACTTGTTTTTTTGTTAGAAAAGTTTTAAATTTTAAGTTTATATATTACTATTAAAACTTTAAGGTTTACTATTTTTCAAATAATTTTTTGGATATATTTTTTTTGATTAGTGTTAAACTTTTAAATTTTGTGTAAACTAATTGTATATAACTTGTAAGTAATGATTGTAACTTGTAACTTGTAAGGTTTATATATATGCTAGTATATATTTGTTATTGTGTCTAAGTGAAATAATTTTTTGAGCTGCATGATTTATGTTTAGGCGTGGCTGAAATTAATTTGAGATGTATAAAAGTCATTAACTAATGCTAATTATTCTAATTTAAATGCTGACATGTAAAGGATACGTCGTGGTCCAACACGGCGGTTGGTGCCTACAGACTACAGAGAAAGACGGGCGGGCCAATTGATAAAAAGCCCAATTAACTAATGAGCTGGTTTAGGGTTGAGCAGCGAGACCCATTTGAACTGAAATATTGATTTCGATTATTTTTGTTTTGCAGTTGTGGATCCCAGCCTGTGATCGGTGATTAGAAAAGAACAAAACCTTAGTTAATAAACATTAAAGTGATTCTTTCCATTTGTTAGAGAATCATTACGCTTCCACACGTGCATTTTATATCATAATGATAATTAGAACAATCTGACAAAAAAATACTAAGATTAGTTAAATAATTGACTTGTTATGTTATTACAAAAATATGAGTTAGAAATCTGGTGGAATGGCACTGAATTTTAAGATAGCACCTGTCACGTCGAATATTTCGATCATGCAAGAATACATGCGCCGTTATTAACGCTGTTAAATATGTGTATATATGCTATGATATACTCCATCCGTTTCACAATAAGTGTCATTTTAAGGTTTTAATTTCGTTTCACAAAAAGTGTCATTTTGTGTTTTCAATGCAGTTTTAAAGACTAATTCTCTTTTTTAACCTCACTATTTTAGTGTATTAATTAGAGAGAGGGTATTATTTAGTGTATTAATAAGGGGTAGAAATGAAATTTGTTTACTTTTTTTAATTTGTGTGAAAAATGCTAGAATGACACTCTTTGTGAAACAGAGGGAATAGTAAGTAGACTAATATTTTTTTTCTTTGCTTGGTTCTTTATCAAAGTACTTGGATTAATGAGATCGAATATTGATAAACTAGTATTCCCTCTTTTTTTAAATATAGGATGCCTTGGTTAAAAACACAAAGTTTAAGAAACTAATTAATTTTTTTTGTTTCTATTATTTTTACATTGAAATCATAATTTAATATTTACTTAAAGAAAGTTTGGCCAATAAAAAAGTTTACTGCAGAATATATATAATCATAAAATTGTATGAATTTAATTTTTACATGGAAACTTAAATTTTTTTTTCAAAATATATTATATTGTGAAACAAGATAAAATAACTAAAACATCATATAATATGAAATAGAGAAAGTACTAAGTACTAAGTAGATCGAGTGGGAGTTGGCGAGATGTTTTAATAAACGAGTACGAGTATGAGATCGAGTATGCAAATTACTAGTGAGATATTTTTTAAGGTGCTAGTGCTACTTTATATAATAATAAATGTTTTTATACGAACACCGGTTATAAATGAAGTAAGTTACTCTAAGCTGGCATTTCATGTGTTTATTAGATTGTACCGTGGCCGGTAAAATTAGCTAGTTGTTAATTTGTTATCAATAGTTATATATACATGTTCATTTATTTTATGTTTTATTAATAGACTGTGAGATGATATGAGTAGAGGGAAAAAAATCCAATAATTATGTATATTAGTATATAAATCTAGAAATGGTAGATAAACTATTTTAAATGGGTCACCCAACGTGAATGAGTTTCCTTTTCGATTTAATTGTCCTCGTTGTGTTGGCATAAAAGTCGGTGCTAAAGAAAGCCCCAAATTATTTAACTTGAAAACGAAAGTTGGTCCACTTCTATATTCATCTTCTGAGATGAAATTAATACTCAAATCATTTTCATAAAAAAACTCAAATTATTATTATTATTATTTGTTAAAAAAAAATCTCAAATTATTAAAAAGTATTAATTCATTCGTGTTTTTTTCTATATATCAGTCTTTTAGTCAGCTTGGCAAATATTGCATTCATCTATATATGTACACAAACGTCTACGTAGAGAAAACATTGTACATTCACATTCGTGATCTCATCTATCTTTAGATGGCTAAAAAATCTCAGATAGAATATCACACTTACCCAAAATATAATATTTTTTCGTACGAAATCTTATTACTAGCACATGACGTGTGTGAGAAAAAGTACAGTAGACATTCAAAGGTGTTAATGTTAAAATTAACAATTGGGAGGTATGACCGTCTGAGCCACTCCATCTTCTTCTTCAGTTCTTCTAACGTCAATTATAAATTATACGTAGCGTCACTAAATATTGGAAATATTAGAGAACAATTATAAGTTTGAAATATAAAATCAAACTCATGACTGATTTACTACCCCAACCGTTTATAGTACGAAGCAAACTTAAAAGAGAATGACATGGGTATGACTTTGCCCCTTTTTTCTTAATTAATTCTTTGTAGTACTCTAAAGTCATAAGTTTCTAATCAGTATTAATAGCAGTAATTAATGGATACATTTAACCATACAAAAAAAAAAAATCAATAAGAAAAGTAGACAGGGTGGCATCATAATTTATGGGGACAGCTGTCGTGGTTATTCATTTATGACCACTAACATGCAATGGCAAGGATGCTCATTTTAGTCATATACTTGTTAGATTCCATCTTCTACAAAATTTACTCATTCAATACTTCTGATTTTTCTTCTTCTTCGTAATTTAATAGATTCTGCATATAGTTTTGTATTTATTTTCTAATACTAGATGCCAGTGATCGGTTGTCATTATTCTGATTTATTTTTCTATGAAATCATTATAAAACTATTTTTAACTTGTTGACAATTATAGGTGTTAGTTATTATTAAAAACTTCAGGTCGATAGTTATTTCGGGCTATATAAAAAATGTACGATTTCTCGTATGGGAGTGATTGCAACATATTTATTGGTATTTTATGACCCCATGTTAACTCTTATGTAGTAATTTTCCCCACTTAATAAATTGTTTATATGATCTCATAGGCATTAATTGCATGGTTTCCAACTTATTTTTCTTCTATATGTTTTTTATTTCACATATGAAAACACTAATTTGCAATATCTGCGAATCATTTTCATTTTAGAGTATAGAGTATAAACCTATTGTAGATTCAAATAAACTTCATCATCTATAATTTTTGGGTTTTGTGCAAAAAATACATTCAAATCGCCAATTTTTACAACTTTATCTACCACCTCTAAAAATATAGAATAAACCTATGAAGTCTAAAATAATAGGTAATATAGTCTTTATACATATATTGTAAACGATTTTTCGATCACGTACATTTGATTTTAATATTTTAAAGGTATAAATGAATTCCTCGTCTCGAGGGCGTCGATTTGATATATTTTTTATCAAAATTTTTAAAACTTAACAATTGCGAAAAAAGTCTATATTGCCTATTATTTTAGATTCATAGGATTATTTTGTGTTTTTTGGAAGTAAATGGTAAAGTTGCAAAAATTGGCCACTTTGAATTTTTTTTTCTTGCACAAAACCCATAATTTTTCTACCCTAATGATCTTCCTAGTTTACTTTTTTTTTTTTTTTTTCTTAATGATTCTCACAATTTTATTTTATTTATTGAAGTACTTAGTTTGGTTATCGGCTTATCGCATTATATTATTGTGAGGTCTGATTAAAGACTAAAATATAGACATGCAAAGAGACTATGAAGTATGAACTACTGTAATAACACTGCAAGAAAAACATTGCCATAAATATGAAAACAGAAGACATTGACAGATACTAATAAAAAATAATACTATGTCTCTAAATTCATATTCAGATCTTAACGAAAGTCTTGTGGTTGTGGAGTAAAAACTGGGTTTTACACTTCACTTGCGTCTGAATACCCGGGGAAAAAAATGTCGGTTTCACTTGCTAATTTTCTTGGAAAGTTACAAAGTCTTTCCCTTTTCAGGTTTTGAAGTCACACTAACATAAAGAGTAGAAGAAAAAAAAAGGCTTGGAGCTTTATTTTTGCTTTTTTCTTAATTTCTTCTAGAAAACATGATCCTGAGCTTCCGAGCAAAATTCTTTTAAAGAGAGTGATAGAAAATGATGGCTCTGATGAATTGTGCATATTCATCTTCTTCTTCGTCTTCTTCTTCTTCCTCTCCCACTTCTTCCTCTTCATATTCTCCGAGGTAAGTGATTTCAATTGCGTACGAGACTAATCAATCTTTGAATCAAAGTTAATTGAAACTTTCTCTGTTCTTACTTGCTTGTAGGAACAGAGAGAACATGGTTTTGCAGAGTGTAGTTGATGTGTCACCTTCAAGTTTCTCTTCCGACAGAAAATCTGTACGGTTTCGAAATCATTTCATTTTTCTCCTTTCTTTCCAGAAAAAGCAAAACTTTTACTGTTAAAATAATAAGAAAAAAACTCTGCCTATTTTTTTTCTCTCCTTCTTCTGGGTTTTATATGGTTTTTTGATGCAACTTTTCATTAACAAGAAAGCTGTTTCTAATTTCCTTACAGATTTTACCAATTGAGAAGACTTTAATAACTCACCAAAATTCCAGTCTCTGCTTGATCCCAAAGGTTCCCTTTATAGCTCAGTAATCAACTCTTTAATCTTACAGCTTTCTTGTTTTGCTATGTCTTGAATCTTGATTTTTTTTTTTTATGCAGAAGTCTTCAGAAGAGTTGAAGAAGGAAATTGCATCAATTGAGATAGAGATTCTACACATGGAACGATATCTCTTATCTCTTTACAGGAAATCTTTTGAACAGCAACTTCCTAATTCCTACTCTAAACTCTCTGCTACTACTACTAACTTTCCTCGTTCTGTGACTACTTCACGAACATCACTAACTCATCACTATCAAGCTTACCAAAAACCAATTTCATATCCTCGGAGTTTCAACACTAGTTTAAAAGCCTTATCTTCAAGGGTAAATTTAACTCTACTCAAGTGTTTATTTTAAAGAAATCAGTCAGGAAGGAAACAAATAAGTGACTTGTTTATGTGTGGGTTTTTTTTTTTCAGGAAGGGACTAGAGTAGTTTCTGGTAATCACAGTCTTGGAGAGCTTCTAGGATCATCTCATATAGTTGATCATAGTAACCTCATAAACCCGAATAAACTCTCTGAAGATATCATGAGATGCATCTCTTCTGTGTATTGTACACTTTCAAGAGGATCAACGAGTACCAATTCCACTTGTTTCCCTGCTTCTCCGGTTTCGTCATTGTCGAATGCCTCGACCATTTTCTCTTCCAAATCCAATTACTATGACGATAAATGGAGCTTGAATTGCGCGAGTGAGGATCATTTTCTGAATCACTTTCAAGATCAAGGCAATGTTTTGCCTTGTGGTGTTGTTGTGATAGAGGCTCTTAGAGTACATTTAGACGATGCTAGTTTCGGTTACGCTGCTCTTATGCTGCAAAACTTCAGGTAAATTTGGAGGTAAACAATCTACATATATATATAACTGAATTGATCTTTATTTGTATTTTGAACAATTTGGTATATATGCAGATCATTGGTTCAAAATCTTGAGAAAGTTGATCCGAGTAGAATGAAACGCGAAGAGAAGCTCGCGTTTTGGATAAACATTCACAATGCTCTTGTGATGCATGTAAGTAATAAACTAGCTCTTTCTTTACTATCTTAATTTCCTTGGTATTAATCTTTTCATGCCATCATCTTCTTCTTTCAAGGCTTACTTAGCTTATGGAACTCACAACCGCGCAAGAAACACATCGGTTTTGAAGGTTAAATCTCTATTAGCCATAAAACATTTAGTAGAGCAACATTTATTTGATGTTTTTACTAAGCAATTCTCTTTCATATAACCACAGGCAGCTTATGATATTGGAGGCTATAGAATAAACCCGTTTATCATCCAAAGCTCAATCTTAGGAATCAGACCTCATTACATATCACCATCACCTGTAAACCATTTCATATTTCTTTCCTTTTTGCTTCACTTTCACTTTTCACCACATAGTAAATGCGTAATTTACATTTTGCAGTTACTCCAAACTCTGTTTTCGCCTTCAAGAAAGTCGAAAGCTTGCAGTGTTAGACACGTTTACGCATTGGAATACCCCGAGGCTTTAGCTCATTTCGCTATTTCTTCAGGAGCATTCACAGATCCTATGGTAACAATTAGAAACCATTTCAACTCTAAATGATTTCAGTTATATACCATCCTATATTAGATTTAACTGTAGAAGATTATTGGTTAGGTTCGAGTTTACACGGCGGATAGAATCTTCCGGGATCTAAGACAAGCAAAACAAGAGTATATCAGAAGTAATGTTCGTGTTTACAAAGGGACAAAGATTTTGTTGCCAAAGATCTTTCAGCATTATGTTAAAGACATGTCAATGGATGTGTCTAAGCTCATGGAAGCAACAGCTCAGTGTTTACCAGAAGATGCGAGGAAAATTGCTGAGAAATGTTTGAAGGAGAAGAAGAGTAAGAATTTTGAATGGTTACCGGAAAATTTGAGTTTCCGGTATGTCATCGCCGGAGAATTGGTTGGAGCAAGAAATAAGACGTGAAGGTTACAATAAAAGTTGTTCTTTTTGCCTTCTCATGTGATTAAATAATTTGATTACAATTAGTGTTCAATTTCAGTTTTCTTTTTCGAGTGAGAAATTGTAAAACCAGTGTTTGTATGTATAATCTTAATAAACCGAGAACTAATTAATGTTTTTAAACCGTGTAAGGAAAATAACTGAGAGAAAACCGATCGATCAAACCGGGTCTTTAAGCGTGGATACTTGGGCCTAAATAATAATCATTCCAGGGTTTAATAAGTAATGAAGAAAACTTCAGGACGTAATTTTGATTTTGATAATAATACAAGGGTCTATTAAAAAATTGCTAGCTTGGTTTTTGTATCTTGACGCCGAGGATTTGTTTTCCGGCGAGAGGAAAGTTAGGGTTTTGAGTAGAGAGAGATAGAGTAAACAAGAAGGAAGAAATCCACATGTTTAATCTGTCCGTTCTTACTTATTTTCACTTAAGATTGAAAATTATTCTTTCCTGGTTTCCAAATCTTCGATCTTTCACTCTAAATTCGCCCTAAAATATTGAGGAAGACGACGGTGGGGGATGGAATTGGATCAACTTAAGAAGTCTGTAGAGGAGAACCCAGATGACTCTTCTCTACAATTCGAACTCGTATTTTGTTTTCTGATCATGAATTTAGTTCCTTTTTTATGGGTTCTCTTTGTATCTTCTGCTAATGGGGAAAATATTGGAACTTTGATTTGATTGCAGGGTTTGCATCTATGGGATAATGGTGGAGATTCAGAGAAAGCGGCGGAGCACTTTGTGTTGTCGGCGAAGTTAAACCCGAATAATGCGGCGGCGTTTAAGTATTTAGGGCATTACTACTCGCGTGTGACGCTTGATCTTAATCGAGCTGCTAAGTGTTACCAAAGAGCAGTGTTGATAAACCCTAATGATTCTGATTCTGGAGAAGCTTTGTGCGATTTATTTGATAGACAAGGGAAAGAGATTTTGGAAATTGCGGTTTGTCGTGACGCTTCTGAGAAGTCTCCAAAGGCTTTCTGGGCCTTTTGCAGATTGGGTTATATTCAGGTTTTGTTCAATTGGCCTTCTCTGTTTCTGCAATCTGTCTTTATTGTCTTGCTCTGGCTGATCTATGGTTATGCATTCTATCACAGCTTCATCAGAAGAAGTGGTCTGAAGCTGTTCAAAGCCTTCAACATGCAATTAGAGGTTATCCTACCGTGTCTGACTTGTGGGAAGTAATTGTCTTTTTCCTTTCTTCCTCTAGTTATTAAAATTTTGTTACATTGATTCTCTTAACGAATTTGACAAGAATTCTTTTTGTCTGTCTGTCATTGCAGGCTCTAGGCCTTGCTTACCAGCGACTTGGAATGTTTACTGCTGCTATCAAGGTCATAATCGCTGTTTCATTTTTTGTAGTTTCCCAGTTTCTTGGAGTGGTTTGGGTTTATTGTTGATTTTTACTGTGATCTTATTTCTCAATGACACAACAGGCGTATGGCCGTGCCATTGAGTTAGATGAGACCAAAATTTTTGCATTAGTGGAGAGTGCAAATATCTTTTTGATGCTTGGTTCATATAGAAAGGTAACCTTTTTATCCGCGTCTATTTAAAATTACCCCTTTGGAAGTCTGTTTGTGTGGCTCCAGAAGTCTCACATAGTATTTGTATAGGGTGTGGAGCTATTTGAGCAAGCACTGAAGATTTCACCTCAGAATATTTCTGTGCTCTATGGTCTTGCTTCTGGATTGCTTAGTTGGTCAAAGGAATGCATAAATTTGGGCGCATTTGGATGGGCAGCTTCACTATTGGAGGTTAATAATACTAAACTCTTCTGATTTTGTCTTGATCTCATCCATATTGAAATTGAATATACCTAAATGATTGAACGATTAATGGAAAATCACTGTAGGATGCCCGTAAAGCTGCAAAAGCAAGCAGTGAACTGGCCAGCAGTATGTCTTGTATATGGAAATTGCATGGAGATATTCAGGTACTTAGGCGGTCCTTGTATTTTAAGTGCAAAGCTCGCTCGTTATCTGGGTATCTAATGTGTTATCCTTGAGCAGCTTACATACGCAAGATGCTTTCCATGGTCTGGTGGAACTGAAAACTCGGAATTCACTTTGAAGACTTTTAGTGATTCAATTCTTTCTTGGAGAAGCATTTGTTACTCAGCTGCATTGTCAGCCAAAGCTTCTTACCAGCGAGCTCTACACTTAGCCCCATGGCAAGCTAATGTTTATACTGACATAGCCATAGCTTGTGATCTTGTTTCAAGTTTAAGCGATGACTCTGATACTTCAAGTTCTTGGTAAGATTATACTAAACGTTATTTGGCATTTTCTTAGTTTTTGATGTGCGCCCTTGTAATCGTCTATTATTCTATCAGGAAGCTACCAGAAAAGATGGCTCTGGGAGCATTATTGCTGGAATGCGAAAACTCGGAGTTCTGGGTTGCTTTGGGTTGTATGTCTGATAATAGTGCTTTGAAACTACATGCTTTGATCCGGGCATTGCATTTGGATGTATCTTTAGCCGTTGCTTGGGCTTTCATGGGCCAGGTATTGTTCCTTAACATTTTTGTCTTTCTGGCTTTGTATTTGATGTCCTGGCTCTATCAAGGCTTGCATTTTGTTTCACATATGTTCATGATTTCAGTTACGGTTTCCCCCTTTTTGATTGTAATTTCGGTTGCTTAAACAGATCTTCAGGGAATCGGATGAAATGAAATTTGCAAAGCAGGCTTTTGATTGTGCTAGAAGCATAGATCCTACACTTGCGCTACCTTGGGCTGGCTCAGCTGATACGTATGCGAGGTAGATCCTTTTTTTGTGAAAAAGAATTTCTCATGTTTACGAACGACAATTTTGCCCACATAGACTAATTAACACCTCAGGGAGTCAACATCAGACGAGGCTTTTGAGAGTTGTTTACGAGCTGCACAGATATCACCTGTAAGTGCTAATTTAATTGTGGTTTACTTACTTGTAAGCGTGATGGCTTTAATTGAGGCGTGAGATAATTCTGTCCAGCTTGCAGAATTCCAAGTTGGTTTGGCATGGCTTGCTTTACTGCAGGGAAATATATCATCTCCGCAGGTATAAACACACACACACACACGTATATATATATATTTATTTTTAATATCTGCACAGGAATTTTATTAATCCAAGTGAGCTTTAAGTAGTTCCCCCTCCTGAAACTGTGTTGCAGATTTTTGCTTGCATTGAGCAGGCAGTGCAGCGCACCCCTTATTACCCTGAATCCCATAACCTCCACGGGCTAGTTTGCGAGGCAAGACATAATTATCACACTGCTATTGCTTCTTATAGGCTAGCACTAGCTGCAATGAGTATTTACCCCGACAATTTAGTAAAATCTCATGCTGGAAAAGTATCGATAAACTTGATCAGGTCACTCAGCAAGGTGAGATGCCCACCCTTCTTTCCGTTAACATGTCTTTTTAACAGCTATTTTGAGATTAGATTTAAATTTAATTCAATAATCAATAGGAATGCAAATATTGTACTCATTTAAAGTTATTTTGCAGGCAGGACGATTCAAAGAATCTGTTATGGAATGCGCTAATTTGAAGTCAAAAGGTTAGACCATTCATCCCCCAGTTTTAAAGACTGGGTTTTCTTGCAACTCGTACTAACTTTTAGTCAAATGCTACTAAATTTACTAATATCTAGTAAAATATATCCAAAAGGTTTGCTTGATGCTGGAGGTTTGCAAATATATGCTTTCTCTCTGTGGAAGACTGGTCAGAATGATTCGGCTCTTTCAGTGATTAGGGATCTGGCTGGTAGGATTTCTACAATGGAAAAAACCTCAATAGCCTTCCCAATCAGCTTCATCTGTAGTCTACTTTATTGTATATCTGGGTTAGATTCTGCTATCACCAGCATCCAGAAAATGCCTAAGGATTTCTTCCAGAGTTCGAAAATCAGCTTTATAGTATCTGCCATCCATTCTCTTGATCTGAGTGATAGACTCCAGTCGATTGTTGCAAGCACTCGTAGCTATATAACATCACAAGAAGAAATAGTTGCAATGCACTATTTGATAGCACTCAGCAAATTGGTGAGCCTTTTGATCGCGGTTATCATGTTGGCCCCTTCGTTTTTTAATGCTGTATTGGTATAGACTCTGGATTAAAATGACAACACTCTGGATATTGCAGCTGAAAACTGGAGCAGGAGATTTTCTTGGATTTGAGAAGGGGATTGCCCACCTCAGAAAAGCTATTCATATGTATCCTCATAGTAATTTGATAAGGTGGGTTTTGATCACGCGCGCTAGGTTTTAATTTTGTAGTGATATGTTGGTATTGTAATCATAACTCGGAAATATAATTTGTTGGAATTAGGAACCTGCTTGGATATATTTTGTTAGCTGGTGAAGGAATGAAAGATGCCTGTACTGCTAGTAGGTGTTGTATCATAAATGTATCTGACTGTGCAAATAAGGAAGGTCTGAAGTCAGCATTGGAGGTCCTTGGTGGAGGATCGGTTGCTTGCAATGTAATTGGCAATACAGCTCCAAGGTTCTCATTTCCGACATGCCATTGTCAGTATCTGAATGCTCCTGTTGTTGTTGTGGAACTGCAAAGGTATTTGAGAATCTTTCTGCATCATTTAGTATTTTTAGAATCTGTATTGGTCCACTATCAAAGTGGTGTCTGATCCTTTTATCATCTACAACTCAATTTTTGACTCTCCCGTGCTTAGAATCTCTGTTGAATGATTGTTTTCCAATTCGCAGATTCTTGCATCAAGAACCTTGGAACAGCGATGTAAGATACTTGCTTATTCTGAATCTCGTGCAGAAGGCCCGTGAGCAGAGATTTCCTCGCCAGCTTTGTAGTGCTATTGAGCGTCTAATCTCTGTGGCACTCTCTGATGAGACATGTTCGAAGGAATGCGAGTATCAAAAGTTCCAGCTTCTGCTTTGTGCTTCTGAAATCAGTTTGCAGAAGGGAAATATAGCAGAGTCCATTGCCCATGCTGGAAAGGCTTCTTCCCTTTCGCTTCCACGTAGCTACCTATTTCTAGGACATTTGCAACTTTGCCGTGCCTATGCAGCAAAAGGGAGTACCAGAAACATGCAAGAGGAATACAGAGCTTGTTTGGAGCTCAAGACTGACTCAAATATTGGTTGGATTTGCCTGAAGCTCATAGAATCTCAGTATGATCTGGAACCTGATGCTAATCTCTTAGAGATGAGTCTACAAGAATGCTCAAGCCAGAAGAAGAATTCATGGAAAGAATGGATGGGTGTATACAGTTTAGCTCGTGGCTTAGATTCTAACGGGAAAAAAGACTTTTCCTCTGCAGAGGAATTCCTTGCACAAGCTTGTTCGTTGTTAAATTCAGAGAGCTGTCTACTTCTTTGCCATGGTGCTGTCTGCATGGAGCTGGCTAGACAGTCTAATGACTCGCAGTTCCTCTCACTAGCTGTAAAGAGTCTTAGCAAAGTTCAAGCGAGTTCGTTGATTCCTTTGCCTATCGTGTATACATTATTAGCTCAAGCACATGGAAGTCTTGGCTCTAAAGAGAAATGGGAGAAAAACCTTCGTCTCGAATGGTTCTGCTGGCCACCAGGTTTGACTGCAATTGTTCTAATCTTTTCTTCTTTTTCACCAAACTTTGCGCACAACTGAAACTGTTGTTTAATTGTTGGACAGAAATGAGACCTGCAGAGGTTTACTTCCAGATGCACATACTCGCAAGACAATCAGAAGACAGACCGGAAACCGCTTCAGGGATTGAAAACTATCAAAGCCCAGAGAAATGGGTGGTTAGGGCGATTCACACTGATCCTTCTTGTCTGAGATATTGGAAGGTCTTGGATAAGCTTGTTCAACATCCCATGAGCTGAGAACCAAAAATTAAGATCCAATTCCGGAACAGAGAAGAGCCGAGAGCAGAACAGTTGGTGTTCTGTGTTTTTCCTTCCATGTAGTTTTTGTCTAACATGTAGTTTTTGTGTAACACCAAATAGAAACACAATGGAATAGGATTCATCATGTACATTGAAACTGAAACAAGAAGATGCAGTTTTTTTTTAATGAACTATGATTTTGGATAATAGTATAAAACATGTTTTTGGATATTGCTTGCAAAGCCTTATTTACACAGCAATCAAACAAAAACTATACAGACGAAACAACAAAGCTTAGCGCATCATGAGAGCAAACTCGTCAAAGCTTAGAACTCCATCAGCATTGAGATCAAAAGCTTGAATCATAACTTTGCAATCGTCAGTGGTTCTCGACTCACCAAGCTTCAATAGCATCATCTTCAAGCTTCCCGGGGTAATGCAATCTTCCCCATCAGCAATATACATTCTAAAAGCTTCCATAATCTTCCTCTTCTTCTCTTCCTCAGTGAATTCATCATTCCCTTTGATAAGCTGAGCAAACTCATGAAAATCCAACATGCCATCACCGTCTATATCAGACAGTTTAACCGCAGCCTCGGCTTCTTCATCAGACATTTGCTCTCCCAATGTCTTGAAACTCTTCTTAAGCTCCTCTGCAGAGATTCTACCATCTCTGTTTGCATCCATGTAAGCAAACACAGCCTCTAAGTCTCTGTTCTTGTCCTCCAAGAATTTCATGAAAGATGAAGATAACTGACGTTGAGTATTCTTCATTTTGAGAAAAAAAGATTGTTTACAAGGTATTTTTATGTTACAAGTATTGTTCTTTCTTTTTGATTTAGGATTTGAATGAGAAATGGTATAAAGTGTTTCTCTCTCTATATATAGGTGTGTTTCAAGACGAGAATAGGAATAAAAAAATAGAAATTGAAACGAATCAAACGTGTGAGACTCAGATCTAGAAAAAAAAAACAAATATTTTTAGCTAGTCTTTAGATCTAGAAGACATTGTATTATTAATAGTCTTGTAGAGATCTAGGAACGGAAATATTAGTATATTGGTTCGTTACAGGTCTCATCTCCATGTTTAAAACACGTTTCTTTCTTCTTCTTTCTTAAATATAGGAAGATGGATTGAGAAATGGTATTTTGGTAAATATAAAATATTTGACGACTTCCATTTAATTTGTTGAAGATTATAAATCAATACTGTTTAGTGAAATCAACTTCTTAGAATTTAAAACAATGATAACTTGATCTACTAACCATCGATTTTCTTTTATTATTATTATCGATTTCTTCACAACCTAGGTTTCATAGCATATAAGTCCATAATGCATGCCTCAAACTTGTTATGGCTCCTATAATTTTTCCAACTTGGGTTGATTCAAAATAAGTGATAAGTGTTAGGAATCCTACATCCTAAGATGAGGTCAAATAGTGAGATTCAATTCATTTACACAATATGGAAAAGATCGCCGACAATTTGTCGATCGGTAACTTAGTTTGAGATGGATCAATAAAAGCCAACATTTCATCTTGAAAAAAAGTGTTAACAATAATAAGCTCTTTATTGGTTGGATAAAGAGTTTGATTTGTAGGACGAAAACTTATTAGATACCTTAATTGTTACCGTTATATGAATATCTTACACTAAAGCTCATTTTGAATCTTGTTAGATTCCTTTTGTCTTGAATTGTGAGCTCTAGAGAATAATATGACTATGAGCAAGTCATGGTCAAACGTCGATGGACTATTTAGTAGATTGACTCTTTCATGTTAAAAAAACATCCTCTCTAATATAACAAAGTTTCACATATATATGGATCATTAATCAAATAACAATCGTGTTTATTGCATTACATTTCACAAACTATTTAAGTTATATACAACAAGAGATTAAGAACAAGAGAAGAACTGCAACAACAACAATGGAGGCTTAGCGCATCATAAGAGCAAACTCATCAAAGCTTAAAACTCCATCAGCATTGAGATCAAACGCACTAATCATAACTTTGCAGTCATCAGTGGTTCTTGATTCTCCCAGCTTCTTTAGCATCATCTTCAAGCTTCTTGGAGTAATACACTCTTCACCTTCTGAAATATACAGTTTAAACGCTTCTTTGAGCTCTATCTTCTTCTCTTCCTCATCGTCTGCTTTGATTAGCTGAGTAAATTCCTCAAAATCCAACATCCCATCTCCGTCTGTATCAGACAATCTAACCGCAGCTTCGGCTTCTTCGTCAGACAATTGCTCTCCCAATGTCATGAAACTCTTTTGAAGCTCTTCTGCAGAGATTCTACCGTCTTTGTTTGCATCCATGTAATCGAAAACAGCCTCTAAGTCACTGTTCTTGTCCTCACCATTGTTGCTGTTGTGTTGTTGTATCTTTCCGCCTGAATCTTTCCTCTTTGGTGATAGTTTCCGGCAGAATTTCTTGAAAGATGATTGAGGGGTTGAGTATTATTATTCTTCATGAGAAGGAAAAAAAAGTTTTGTAGTTTTTTTGTTTGTATGGTTTTGAAATGGAAAGTGAATGAGAAATGAGGAAAAAAGGTTTGTATGTGTTAATATATAGGCGTGTGGTCAAGTTGTGGTAATGGAATGGGTATTTTCTTGAATCTTGAAATTAAAGTTAAGATCAAGTGTTGTGTATTAGACGTGGGAGATTAGTGTTTAGATATTTTGACTTTTTAAATGATTTTTGTTGTTTAAAACACGCTTTTTCTTCCTTTTTTATTGGATGATTAAGGCCAAGTAATGGGTACAATAAAATTCTGGAGACCACCGGCCACTTGTATTTGACACTTGCACACGAGATATTATTTATCTGTGGGCACTTAGAAGCTTCACTTGCTTCGTCTTTATCTCTCCATTTTTTTGTTTCTATCTACAAAATAATAACAAAGATAAACATGTGTTTGACTATGTGTACTAATATGATTGGTTGGAAATGTAATTAAATCTCCTACAAACCAAGGCACTCGTATGTATGTTTACACATAGAAATAGAAGCCAACGGTTATGAAATTTTAACAAGTGATGATAGCTCACTTGATTTTAGGATTTCTCTCAAAGGAAATGTTAAGTCTTTAATCCCAAATTCGAGTTTTGAGTTGAGAGGTATGATTTACGCTTTAATAATTATTACCAACGGTTAATTCCGGACCGAGTGAGCCAAAGATTTTTTTTAAATTGTTAAAAAAGATAAAATGATTTGAAAGGTTTCTTAATTAGTGGTGGTGTTTTTCTTAGAGATTTGTACAAAAAAATACAGTATGTATTTTCTCATAAGAGTATTGTGAAAATAATCACTTTTTCAGTGCTTTTTCTGTAATCAACTTGTTTTCTTTATTAAGGGTTTTAACGGTCAAAAAAACGGTCGCAGACCAGAGAATTTAAGGCAATGTTTGCTTAATTTAAGACTAAGTCGATAGATTAGTTCTTAAACAAGATACAAGAACGTAACGTAAGCAACGTCGACAATCCAATATCTAATCTGGCCCAATAATATTGACCTGACCCGGTCCAGCAATATTCTAGAAACGAGAAACTCATCAGAGATTTACTTACAAGTGTTTCTAAAAGTTAACGTGTTACTATTTTGTCTTTGTGTTTATCTATACTAATAACTAGAATATTTTTAGTTTTAATAAAAGAACTTTCATTACATTATAAAGGTGAATTAACAGACGTTTACAATTTGCAAATATTTTGATTAAAATACAAGAATTGAATAGTTTTGTTTGGAGATGAACACATTTACTAGAACATGTCAATGTACACACAACTAAACAATACATAAACATAATACTATAAAACTTTAGTGTTTATATAGAAAATCACGAATTAACAACATTCACAAGTTCCAATCTAACATCTTAAGTTGTTAACAATGCAATAAAAAGGAGAGTAAAGAACCTGAAACAGATTGGTGCAATTAGATAAAAGATGGGGTCTTACAAAAAAGCCATGTCAAACTAAAAACAAGCATTCACTTTCGCACCCTTGCTCTCTCTTATATATAACATTCTACTAAAAACCATCTGTAATTTATATTTATATATATATATATATCTATATATACTTTAAAAAAAACTAGATTATTATCTTGAGAGTTAGCATCACAAGATCCATATTTAATACTTTTTAGAACTTAGAAGACCTTAAGAACAGAGCTGGCTTTGTTGTTCTTGATCAGGCTATCCTGTGTCTGTTCTCTCTGCTTTCCCTTAAGCTTCTTCCTCTTCGGTATTCGACCTCTGCATCCGAGCTTGAAATAGGATAGCTTCTGCTTCCTTTTACAGACCCCACTCTCGACAATAAGGCCTCTTCATCCGCATGGATCCGGTTTCTTTGTTTGTGATCTGAGCCATACCATACAATACAATTAGCACACACACAATGGAATGAAGCAACTCATTGTATTGTCTCTGCAAGGTGATTGAGATAATAATGTGACGATACTCACCTTTGTAGCCATTTGATGCCTTTGGTGAATGGAATTCTACAACTTGTGAATCAAGATCTGCTTCTGATTTGGGGCTTGTTTGACTCAGCAGATTTGCTTCTCTTCTAAGAAGCTTTTGTCCATCGCTTGGAGAGTAAGCTGCTGTGTTAAAAGAATCATCCATCACATCAGTGATCTCTACATACTGACTAGTTGTGATGATTTCATCTGCACTAAACCCAAAGGAAGCCCTGTAAGCTTCTAACTCCTCCATGTCTTGCTTGGGACTTCTGTTTTGCCTATTCTGGTTACCGTTTCCATATCCATTTGTAGGATACACATCTGAATCCTTGGACACGCTTAATCTTCCACCGTTTTGAGGAACCGAAGGATCGTGATCCAGGTAAAACTTGGCAAAAGTTTCGGGACAGAAGAAGTTTGACTCCTGCAAAGGTGTGGAGACTCCATTTGTGTCATACCCAAATGTGTTGCCAGAATCACTCCTTGAGCATTTACCATTTTGAGGCGATAATAACCCATCTCCCGAAGCCCGAGAGATTGGTGATCTAAGAGCGCTGGCTGGACTACCAGGATAAAGAGAATATGTAGCTTGAAGGTCGCTTGAAACATTGTAATGACCTTTACCAGAGTTCTTGAGATCCATGGAGGAAGTCAAGAAACGAGCATAAGGTACATCAGGTGAAGAAGGAGCAGTCAGACGTGCAAGCTCTGGAGGAGGAGTGAAAGGAGCAGTCGAAGGCTCGGTGGTGAATGTAGAGAAAACAGGCGGTGAGACCAATTGGGTTTCATGAGCATATGGTCCAGTGGCATACATACTCGACGAAGGACCTCCCGGTGAATTTGCAGCCAGCGATAAGTAGCAGTTTGGTGACTGAGCGGTTGAAGGAAGAGCTGAATTGGTGAAGGAAGCAGGAGAGGAAGGTGGAGCCAGAAGAGATAGATTAATCCCTCCTGCAGCTTGATTATTTAAGACACCAGCTTGATGAGCTCCATTAGGTTGTGAGACCGAGACATTGCCGCCTTCAGGAATGCGAGATGCTGGTACAATTCTTTTTCCACCTTTTTGTGATTTGAGACAAGAGAACACTCCTAAACAACCTCCCCACCTTTTCCTCTGCAAAAGGACACACATAGACACTTGACATGTAAGTTCAAAGGTCAATGCCCTTAAGGAATAAAAACCAACATGTGAAAGAGATCTGTGAAGCAAGAAGATAATTGACATATAGTGAATCAACTGTTTCTACAGAACCATGAAATGATTATGGATCTGAAGCACGAAACGGTAATCATCTTATAAGCTTACACGCATCGAATCTAGATCACAACCCCTAAAAGCTTGATTTTTGCTTCTTCTAAGTGAATGGCGAATTCAGAAAAATGTCAACTTTTTATTCCAATTCTCGGTAATCACTTGCTCGCTTTAGCCTAAAGGTGGGATTTACAACAACATAATGATCAAAGGAGAGACTCAACATAAACCCTAGCGAACAATGCTCCATCAAGTGTGAACAGAGTCGGATAGTCAGATCTAAGTAGCCAAAAAAAAAAAAAAACACCGACTTGCTAAAAACGAAAGCTTTAAAATCTGAAGAACAGAGATAACTAAAACCTCAGGAATTCAAAACGGAAAAAGAGAGAAAGTAAGAGAATTTAAGAGAAACCTGTTCCTGCTGAGGAAATCTGTGCTGCTCTGAGCCCATTTAGGTGTCTCTGTTCGTCAGAAAAATCACTGCTTTTATTCAACTTCTGAGTAGGGTTTTCTTCAGGTGAAAGACGTAGTAATCCGTTTGGTATTCTCCATTTTTTCTCACAATTTCTTCCACAGCTTACTGATACGATCCAGAGGAGAAAAAAAGAAAAAGCTAAAGGCAAAAGAAAAAAAAAAAAAAAAGGGATTTTGGGAAAGAAAGACAAATTTATTTTATGAGTGGAGTTGGGAGAGATGAAGAAAAAAAAATGGAAATTTTAGAAGAGAAGAGTAAATAAGGAAATCTGCACTGATGCAATCGGCATGAAAAGATGATCCTTACGATGGAAAAAGCATTTCTATTTTAATCAGAATGTGACTTACCACATAGAAAGAGAAAAAAGATAAAAACAAAACACAAAAAGCTCAAGCCAACCAAAAAAAAAAAGAGAAAAAGGAAAAAAAAAACTCTGTTAATAATAATGTTAATCTCTTCGGTTTTCACACTCTCTACAATAGCAAAAAAAGGAAAGAAATTAATAATGGGAATTTAATTGGTACCCATTTTGGAAAAAAATAAGGTTTATCAATGTGTTTAAGTTGGTCACTGTATGGGTAAATTACTAATTAGACATCTAAACCCTTAATAAAAGGTTGATTCCCTAAGCACGTGAAGGACGTTTTACTAATAAGGGTTAAGGAGAACATGTAAAAGTCAAAATTTTTAGTTTTTGCTTTTTTGGTTTGGTCTAAATACACGTCCAAAATCAGTGTATAACTGCTAAGTCAAGCGACCATTGAGGTTATTAATAAATGCAATTCACTTATCAAGAACAACAAGATTGTTGTGATTTTTTTTTGGCTTTGCAAGTTGAATAACAAAGCTTTGATTTATGAAGGATATGGCCCCCAAAAAAAAAAGAAAAAGAAGAGAGATTTTGCAAGTAATATATTTGAGTTTATATAAAAAGAAGAAATTAGCAAAGATTAGTGACATAAATAAATATTATGTATTATAAGAATTAAATTTGTTTAAATTGATCATATTTCGGCAATTGAGGGGATTATTAAAATTAAAAAAGGTGATTCTTTTCCCTAAAATTTTGTTTTGATCTTTATGAATTGTCTATAGGTATTGAGGGTTCCAATAAAGACATTAAAGCAGAGGAAAAGAGGGCCTAGTAATAGTATGATACCTAGTTGTAGGATTTGGATCTTTTTTGGGGTCTGGTTTCATATTTGTGGGACCTCTTTCCTCCTCTCATTCTTTCCTCTTCCTCTTCTTAACCCCAGTAATTTTTAACTGATATCCAGTAATTTTTCCATGTCCCAATCACAAACTAAAATTATTTTACAGCTATCTTTTGTTTTAACTTTTAATCATTGCTTATACCTTTAAACAGCATCACATGTACTTTCTTGTATTTTTAAACACACATCACATATTCACATGTCGTGACTCATGACCTGAGTTATGCTCGTTTCCACAAAATTTATAACATTTGGAACTGTTTATTGTTAGAAATTTGTATGCCATTGAATCATACAGATGATACAAGAGATCTGTTTTGGTAGTTCATATAGAAAATGAATAAAATCACATGCTTCAGTTGACATTTCTGTATTACTTACTATATAGGACATTCACTATTCAAGGATGGGCCTTCTCCTTAAGCAAAGAAGGATTTATGGGCTTTCTGAGAAGCCCAAAATGGTCTCAGACATGTAGAATGTGGTGGAATGAACAAGTAAATGGCACACAAAGGAAATATTTGTATAAAGAATTAAAATCAGTTTCGACGTGTAAATTTCAAATGGGTATAAGCACACCCTTATGGTTTAGTGTCACCGAGCTCAACGTCTTTCAAGTCGATATGCTCAACTCCTTCCTTGAGTAGCTTAATCTCATCTTCGGTCATACTGTTTTTGCCGTGTGGCGTTAACTTTGCATTCCTCTGTTTCTCTAGATCAACCGCCCAACTATAGATCACCATTCCAACAATGGCTATGGCCATCCCGGCGATGTTCTTGAATGTCATCTCGGAATCAAAGAGAAGCCAACCTAATGTGAGGACGCATACTGTTTTCATGTGGCCTAGAACTTGGAATGATGTCGCTGAGAATCTTCCAATGCAGAGATATTGACTTATGTTACAGAAAACAGCTAAGGCGCAAGAGAGAAGAATGCAGAACTGCAAAATTGAGAGAGAAAAGTAAAGATTTTGTGTTTATGTTTTGAGTCATCTGAATCTTAGAGAACTTGAAAATTTACTTACGATGGCACCATAAGTCATCTTGTAAGTAGATATGAATTTGCCACTCAAGAAATAGTCAACAAAGGGGCCAAAGATGAGAAGTGAAATAGCTTGGATTGGGGCTGTTTTGCTCAGCAATTCAAAGGATCCTACTGAGTATTTTTTCTGCAGAGAGCCTATAGACTGTAACCAAAAGAAGAAAGGAAAATTCATCAGAACAAACACTTGACACAACATAGTATCTAAGAACTTGCCAGAGACCTTTTCAGGATTCCAGCAAGCACAACAGAAATGTGTACGCCCAGTTTTACGGATGATAACAAACATAGCCTTTGAATTCAGATCTGGGAGGCTTAACATACAGATCAGACATAAATCGAAATCAAAGAGACAAAAGGTCCTCAAGATACCACTGATCTATATAAAGTTTGAGCCTTTGTGTTTCAAAGAATGTAAAAAGATGAAAGAAACTCCAGATCTAACATAAGCAAAGGGATGGTGTGATGAATACTTACAATCTGCTGCAGAGAAGTGGAGAAAACGGCAGTGCATGCACAAATGAAACCTTTAGCATTAACTTTGACATCAGTCACAGTACAAATCCCAACACCAATAACCACAACCATTACAGAAGCTTTCACTTCTTTACAATAATGCTTGCTATGTAGAATCCATTCCAACACGCATACCACCGGAATCATGCTCAATTTCGAAATCTAAGTGAAAATGAATAAAGCAAAATCAAAACAACAACCGAATAACCGAAGAACAAAAAAAAAAACCAAGAGATTCAAGTTACCTGATAGAAGCCAACAGAGTTGAGCATAAGGCTGAAGTTCATAGCAGCAATGGAGATATTAGCAACAATTGAGAACCAGAGAAGCTCCCAAAGAGGAACATGCTTTGATGCTGATAATCCCGAAGCGTTTGACACCATACCAACAAGTGCAGTGACGGCAAAGTGAAATCCCGTAAGAGTTGTAGCTGTGGAAACAAGAATCGAATCGTCAGATTCATCAAGTGTGGAGCTAATGGAAGATAGATAGATCAGAGAGAGATACATTACCAAAGCCAAATCCGAAACCAGAGGAAGACATGAGCTGTTTATTAGCCATGATGATTCCAACGGAGCTGATTACATTCATAGCCCATGCACCGACGTCGGAAACAGCCGATTTCTTCTCGCTCTCCGGTTTCTCCATTTGAATTGAAGAAAATTGAACACCGACACTATCAGATCTGAAATCTCGTGCAAGCGAAAACGAGATCTGACAAATCTCGATTCGCCTGCAGATTTTGAAGAGATGAGATCTGGAGAAAAGTCGATTCACGCCGTTCGTGGAATCGGCGAAGAAAGCCAAAAAGCGAAAACACACACACACACACGTATCTCTTTCTCTCACTCTCGCTTGCTCTCTCTCTGTCTCTTCTACTTATGGTTCACTGCTTCTTCACTCGACGTCGCTGAATATAATCTCACAAGCAAGCTTCTTCCACCATTGATGCTTTTCTTTGGAGTTGTATAAATTCTTCTTTTAATTCGAAAATAATATTTATATATTAATGGAATCGTTTATTAAAATTCATTCATTGACGCGTGTCGTTTACCATATTTGACCTTCTTCTTTCTTCTTTTGGTCCACTTGTTTGTTAATTCAAGACGAGTTCTATCTAAGGGTAATTTTGTCTTTTCTTACCGCTGGTAACGTCGTGCTTTTAATTTCGAGATTATTTTATCAAAAGTTTACTTAAAGTCAGTCTTAAATTAAGCCACACGGTACTGAATACTGATAACAGCCAAATTTTAACGGTAATTATAACGGAATACGTACTTATTTCATACTCTATATATTTAATCTAGTTGGAAAATATCGAGATGTGTAAATATACCATTTGATTAAAAATTGAAAATGAAGAGAGTTTAAGCTTTCACATTTTATTATAATCATAATTGTCGAATATAAAAGAAACAATCACAATTTGCGATTGGTCATAGTCACACCGTCACATTCAAAGCCAAATATTTCGAAACCAAATTATTGAGTTTGTCCTTTGTTCCAGCTATTCTTTACTTGATTACAGTATCATTTATATACAAAGAGAGAAAAAAAAAATCATTAATAGTTTTAGAAAAATGATGGGTCTCTGCAATTATTAATGCTTTTGAAGATGACAAAACCTGTATAGCTTAGCCTGTGCCTCAACACAAATAGTAATGAGAACACATGATCTCCAACACATTATCACAAAAGAGCTTTTGCATGTTCTTTCAACATCAATCATTTTCTTCTAACAAGCCCAAATCCACATTAATTAATTTACGCCAAAACCACAGAAAAAAAGAATAATTTCACAGAAAAATGATTCAGTAAGCATTTTGGGAGTTGTGTGATAGAACATCCAAAAGTTTCGTAGGCTGGTTTCTCAAACCTCGTACCGAAGTATGGAGACGCTGCAAATCTAAGTACTCTTTGAACCGGGTCAGTAGCAACTCTTTTGGAATCTCTCTTCGCTGATTGGCTTGGATGACATTTTGTTTGACAAGCTCTTCATTTTGTTTGGGTTTCTGTTGAAATTGTGAATTATGAGTATCGGCTTTAGGCTGAAGTTGTATATTTGAGTGTGTGTGTGGAAGTTTTTACGATAGTTGTTGTGTGTTTCTCGGCTATTGTGCAGGTTTCTTGTGAACAGAACAATAGATGTCTTGCTCTATGTTGATCGTTTGGATGTGTATAGAGCCGATGAGCAAGTTGTTAAAGCAATCACCCAAAATTTTGGAAAAGAGATATGGTGCAAAACCTTGCTTGTTCTGTCCCTTCCTAATGAACTTTCCTACCAAACTGATGGTTCTAATTAAGATGTGAATACAAGAGTTTGAGGTATGGTTATATACATATTTCCGTCTCAAAAAGTAGTCTTACCAACGAATATATGTTTGGTTCATTGTAGCAAGAATCAGCTTCATTCTTCTACTGGCTTGTAGGATTCTGGAATCGCGTTAGTCTATGCAGAGAACAGCGGAAGATGCCGCAAGAACGATAAAGACGAAAAGGTTTGTGTTTTCGAATCTCTGATTTGAGTAGACTTGGAGAGAGACTGACTGTGTAAATGTGGTAGGATTAAAGAAGTTCGACTTAGCATCCCGTCTTTTTCAAAATGTTTAAATGTTTAACTTAAGCTTTTTGATGATACAAAATGTTTTTATTTCTAAAAATCTAAGTTTTAGATTTAAGTACGTTGAAAACAAATCGAACTTAGCATCCCATTCTTAAAATTTTCTTTAACTAAAAGTCTTTAATTATTAAAAGTATTTTTACTTCAAAGAAACAAACTGAACTTGATGTAAATTTAAACACTTAATCTGATGATTAATCTTCTAATAAATTACTTTTGATTTTTGAATTCATTACGTGAGATTGAGAGACGTATAAACGCTAGGAGTAAGAGCTTTGAAGGTGTTTCATGGGAATGAATCTAGGTGACTAGGTACACTAATTCTATAAAACAGATATATAGAGAAAGTAGCTCTCTCTACACGTTTTCCGATTCCTGCTAGAAAAGAAAACAAGATTTAGATATTGATGTACATTGTCATGAACCATTTTTCAAAGGCTTGTCCAATTTTGCCTGCCAATCAGTCCTAGTGGGCAACAAGGCATAGGAAGCATAGGAGGTATGTATTAGCCTTATTATTCGCACACACATTAAGGGTTTTGAATCAGGGAACTTGTATAAATCATAACTTAGTCTCAGTTTTTTCGTGTATTTTCTTGGCAATACCAAGTGAAGCCTCTGATGACATAGCAAACTGTCTTATGTATCCTCCAAAAACGTTCACTACCAAAAAACTTATAAAGATTGCCACGGATTGATGATCGCATCACTGAAAAGATGAAAAAAAACAAGTAAGCACGCCAACGAAAAAGACCGAACACTTTTGCACCGAGAAGATACATGTTACAAGACAAAGAGACTAACACTGAGATTCCTGACTTCTCCACATCACATGCATATCATAAGCTTGGCGTTGTGTTTAAATCACTTGCCACTTGATAGGCATAAGGCATCTCCCAACACCAGAATAAGAGAACTTACTATTTGAAAAAAAAGTACACAAAACAAAACGTTATAAGTCAAGGAATTTAAAAACTGGGCTAATAACATAAACTTAAGGCCCAAATCTGATTCCAACAATGGCAAATTGTTAAAGCTCTGTCTCTTTCAAACTGTTGCAGCCATCACTTGGGATTTGATCAAGTTACCTTTGTTCCTAAACTAGTCAAGCAAGGTGGGCTACATAAACACCCAAAAATGGTTGGTTTCTTATTTCTGTTTGATGTAATAATGCCGTAATTCAGTGCGTCTTATGTCTCAATTCACATTCTTTTGATTCAATCTTTGCCTCTTTAGTCTTTACTATGTTGCGTAGATACTGTAATAAGAGAGCATATTTCACCAAAATCTACCTTTTTTTTTGTCGATTTGTCAAAGTTTCGGAAAGTCAATCAAAAAAAGAAGTGATTGAAATTATAAGAGGCCCCATTTGTTATGTTCTGTATAATAAGCTCCAATGGATCAAAAAGTCGAATCCAAACTGTAGATGGTAGGAAGGAACAAAGAAAGGAATATAAGTTAAGTTCAAAGTGGTTAAGCTTCTCTAATGTCGTCAATGAATACGTCATCATGAATATATAAATAAATTCCAAGTGGATGGACTTAGGAAGGTCCACACATGCGTCGTCAATGACGACCACGTCCCTTAAGACGAAATAAAGACTTGCCTTCCTAAATTCTCTGATCAATCGATGTGTATAAATATGTGCGGATATATCCATTATCTTCCACAATTCACGGAAAACTTCAAAGTGTGTTTGAGAGAAATCTAAATTCATCCACAGTTTTTACAAAATCCGAATTCATGGAAATGGAAAACGCAGAAGCAAAACAGAGTATACCTCTTCTCTCGCCCTATAAGATGGGAAGATTCAATCTTTCCCATAGGGTTGTTCTAGCACCATTGACGAGACAGAGATCGTACGGAAACGTTCCTCAGCCTCACGCTGCCATATATTACTCTCAGAGAACGACTCCAGGAGGTTTTCTCATCACTGAAGCCACTGGAGTTTCAGATACAGCTCAAGGGTAACTAAAAAATTCTTCCTTTTGATTAAAGTTTACGTTTTTATTTGTGGGTTTTGGGTTCTGATTCTTTCCACATTTGTGTGATTTGATCTTGAAGGTATCAAGATACTCCTGGGATATGGACTAAAGAGCATGTGGAGGCATGGAAGCCAATCGTTGATGCTGTTCATGCCAAAGGTGGTATCTTCTTCTGTCAGATCTGGCATGTTGGCCGTGTTTCTAATCGCGGGTTTCAGCCAAATGGACAAGCTCCTATCTCTTGTTCGGATAAGCCATTGATGCCTCAAATCCGCTCTAATGGCATTGACGAAGCCATGTTTACTCCTCCAAGGCGGCTGAGTATCGAAGAAATCCCCGGCATTGTCAACGATTTTAGGCTTGCTGCAAGAAATGCTATGGAAGCTGGTAAGCATATCCGGATTGGGAATTCAACAAGCCTTTTCATTCAAGACTCTTAATTTGTGTGTCTTTCAAATGTTGTTGTTGTTGCAGGCTTTGATGGGGTTGAGATTCATGGCGCTAATGGCTATCTGATTGATCAGTTCATGAAGGATACGGTTAATGATAGAACTGATGAATACGGTGGATCATTGCAAAACCGTTGCAAATTTGCTTTAGATATAGTCGATGCAGTGGCTAAGGAGATCGGGCCAGACCGTGTTGGAATCAGGCTCTCTCCGTTTGCAGACTACATGGAATCCGGAGACACTAATCCAGGAGCATTGGGGCTTTACATGGCGGAATCTCTGAACAAATACGGAATCCTCTACTGTCATGTGATTGAAGCCAGAATGAAAACAATGGGGGAAATATCAGCTTGTCCTCACACACTTATGCCGATGAGGAAAGCCTTTAAGGGGACTTTCATCTCTGCAGGAGGTTTCACGAGAGAAGATGGGAATGAGGCCGTGGCAAAGGGACGGACCGATCTGGTGGCTTATGGTCGATGGTTTCTGGCCAATCCGGACCTGCCAAAGAGGTTCCAAGTGGATGCACCGCTGAATAAATACGATAGACCAACGTTTTACACTTCTGATCCTGTCGTGGGCTACACTGATTACCCTTTCCTCGAATCAACAGCTTAAAATACTGTTATTAGTAATGTAATATGTTTCCCTTTTGATGTAATAAGTTTCTGGCAGAACATTGTCGCAATTTAAACACACTATCACAAATGAGATTTTTCATGCGCTTTTTAACATTGATCATTTTCTTCCAACACATTGTCACAAAAGAGCTTTCATGGGCTTTCAACATTAATCATTTTCTTCTAACAATCTCAAATTCACATCAAATTAGGCCAAAACAAAAAAGAAGAAGAATAATTTTGCATAATGGCACACACATTAAGGGTTTTGAATCAGGGACTCATTTTTTCGTGTATTTTCTTGGCAATATCAAGTGAAGCCTTTGATGCCATAGCAAGCTGTCTTATGTATCCTCCAAAAAGTTTTGATCAAGTGACCTTTAGTTCCTAAACTAGTCAAGCAAGGTGGGCTAGACAAGACCGACACAAGTTAACAGGATGGTTGGTTTCTTATTTCAGTTTAATGTGATCATGCCGCAATCCAGTGTGTTCTCATGATGATATCTTCCCTTCTTTCGTATGCTGCGCAGAACAAAACAAAACAGAGCATTTTTTTTTTCTTTCAAAACAGAGCATCTTTCTCCAACTCTACCTAATTTTTGTTGTCGGTGGTCAAAGTTATACATCGGAACAATCTGTTGAAATCATATTGAGGCCCCATTTGTTATGTTCTGTAATCTCAAATGAATCAAAAGTAGAATCAGAACTGTAGAAGATGATACCATAGGATGAAGAAAGCATGGAATATGGGGTAAGTTCAAAGTGTCAATATGAAGAAAATAAACAAAAATCCAAGTGGTTGGATTTCTAAGGAAGGGTCCACAAATGCGTCCTCAATGACGTCCACGTGACCACGTCCTTAAAGGTGAAAAGAAACACTTGCGTTCCTAATTCTCTGATCGATCAATGTGTATAAATATCGTCCACAATTCACGGAATTTTCAAAATGTTTTTGAGAGAAATTTAAATTCATCAACAGTTTTTACAAAATCCACAGTTCTGAATTCATGGAAATGGAAAGCGCAGTAGCAAAACAGAGTATCCCTCTTCTCACCCCCTATAAGATGGGAAGATTCAATCTTTCTCATAGGTAATCTTAATTTTATCGTTTTGTTGACTTTTGCTGAATCCCTAAATTAAATAAGCTTGATTCATTTTGTTTTCTTTATTCAGGGTTGTTCTGGCACCATTGACGAGACAGAGATCGTACGGAAACGTTCCTCAGCCTCACGCTATCTTGTATTACTCTCAGAGAACGACACCGGGAGGTTTACTCATCGCTGAAGCCACCGGAGTTTCAGATACAGCTCAAGGGTAGCTCAAAAATTCTTCCTTTTTCATTAAAGTTTACGTTTTTATTTGTGGGTTTTTGATCTTATCCTTGCACATTTGTGTGATTTCGATTAAAGTGAACGTTTTTATTTGTGGGTTTTTGCTGATCATCCTACTGCATTTGTGTGATTTGATCTTGAAGGTATCCAGATACACCTGGGATATGGACTAAAGAGCATGTGGAGGCATGGAAGCCAATCGTTGATGCTGTTCATGCCAAAGGTGGTATCTTCTTCTGTCAGATCTGGCATGTTGGCCGCGTTTCAAATAGCGGTTTTCAGCCAAATGGACAAGCTCCTATCTCTTGTACGGATAAGCCATTGATGCCTAAAATGCGTGCTAATGGCATTGATGAAGCTCTCTTTACTCCTCCAAGACAGCTAAGTATCGAAGAAATCCCCGGCATTGTCAATGATTTTAGGCTTGCTGCAAGAAATGCTATGGAAGCTGGTAAGCATATTCGGATTGGGAATTTCAGAAGCTATATCATTCAAGACTCTTATATGTGTGTCTTTTGAATGTTGTTGTTCCAGGCTTTGATGGAGTTGAGATTCATGGAGCTCATGGCTATCTGATTGATCAGTTCATGAAGGACACAGTGAATGATAGAACTGATGAATACGGTGGTTCAATGCAAAACCGTTGTAAATTTGCTTTAGAAGTAGTCGATGCAGTGGCCAAGGAGATCGGGCCAGACCGTGTTGGAATCAGGCTATCTCCTTTTGCAGACTACATGGAATCCGGAGACACTAATCCAGAAGCATTAGGGCTTTACATGGTGGAATCTCTGAACAAATATAGAATCCTCTACTGTCATGCGGTTGAACCCAGAATGAAAACAGTGGGAGATATATCAGCTTCTCCTCATACACTAATGCCGATGAGGAAAGCCTTTAAGGGGACTTTCATCTCTGCAGGAGGTTTCACGAGAGAAGATGGGAATGAGGCCGTGGCAAAGGGACGGACCGATCTGGTGGCTTACGGTCGATGGTTTCTGGCCAACCCGGACCTGCCAAAGAGGTTCCAAGTGGATGCACCGCTGAATAAATACGATAGAACAACGTTTTATATTTCTGATCCTGTTGTGGGTTACACCGATTACCCTTTCCTCGAATCAACAGCTTGAAATTGTTATCAATAATGTAATGTGTTTCCCTTATGATGTAATAAGTTTCTGGCTTTTTATTTATACTCTTAAGTCACTACACCTTCACAATAATTTCCATGAACACATTATCACAAAAGAGCTTTTATATGTGCTTTCAACATCAATCATTTTCTTCTAAGAAGCCAAATGCACGCTAAATCCCCCCCAAAACCAAAAGAAAAAGGAATAATTTTACATAATGGTACACAACTGCAATATCAATATGCTAAGACTGATATATATATATGCCCCGATCTCACCTGAATCAATCATAGCCAGTCGAAGAGTGTTTCCCTGCGCCAGGAGGTGGTGCAGGTCGTGGGAAGTAATAGTTGAATTGTTCATCTCCAATTTTGAATTCTTCCACGTAGGGGCTTTGTGGTTCCTAAGAATATCCAACAAGAAAACAGTTTACTTTCGATCTGAACCTTTTCAGTGTGTTTCTACTAAACACACAAGCATGAATGTTATGTCTATCTAACACAAGTCAGCTAAAGAAGCATTTGTCCATTGTTGAACATGGAGAGATATGAGTTTGGAGAGATAGAAAGATCAAAGAGAAGCTAAAGGTTTATGTGAAATGATACCTGAGGACCAGAGGTAGAGTGAAATGCTTCATTGGATTTTGGTGATGTAGATGTATTATCATGGTCGTCCCTTCCATTTCCGTTTAATTTTTGAGGTTCATTATTTGCTAAAGGATCACTCTCACTAGCTGTCTTGGCTCTCTGGATGAGTGGAAAGTTAAATCCTTTAGGTCTTTGTCTTAATTCCCAAATCACATTTGAAAAATTACCCGTCACACTATAAGAAGGAAATGAAACCAGATTTTACCTGGAAGATCCTCCCGAGAGTTTTTAACCCTCTTGCTCTTGTACGAAGCTCCTCTCTTTTGGCTTCTGGATCTTGAAGAACCTAGACAAAAAGAATCATAAATAAGTTTACAAACCAGAAAAATTGAACAGAGAGGTCAGATGTGAACATGAGTATTGGTTAAGCTAAACAACCAGCTGACAAACACGACAAAGAGTGGCTTCGATATCAGCAACATTGAGCTTCCACAGCGAATCAATCATCACTCTTTTATGGGCCTGAAGGTATTCCTCAAGTTCCTCCTCAGTATAATTTCCTTCAGTATTTAGCTGCCTTTTCATTTCCTCCTGCAACTGGAACAAAGCATATGCGCCTAGGATGACAATAAACAGCCAGGAAAAGAAAACAAAATCACTACATGTCTTGCTTCCTTAAGAGAGAAGACCAGATTCTAGAAATTTGTTCTTGATTTAGTTTCTTCTTTAATCTAACCTGTTGCAGCTGTTAATTGAGATTTGATGAAGTGACCTTTGTTCCTAAACCATTCAGCAATGAATGGTACTCCGAGATAAATAGCTTTCTTCCCTAGTTCTTTTGCTGCTTGTCTTACATATATATACCCAATTGTATTCAACATATCCACACCATAAGCTGAAGAAGATCCAAATAGAAGGGGATGAGACTCATTTTAGCACAGAGATGGTATCAATTGAAAGAGAAAGCATAACTACAGAACAGGGAACACTCTACACAATATAGTACCTGCATTTGAAAGTCTAGCTACTTCAGCTTCAGCGTTACTGATAAATTTGTCTCTGTTTATCACATATTCGTTGAGTCGGTCTTTGAGAACCTGAGCAAGCTTGTCTTCTCTTTCTTTCTGGACAATCTGAAACCAAACACAATCGACAAATTTAGCAAATTTTGCACAAAGAAGTTTTGGTTTGAGCAGGGAACACTTTGATCCAAAACTTACCCTCATTTTTTCTTGTATCTTTTTGGTATCAAACTGATCCCCTTCAGTGAAGATATCGAGTGAAGCCATTGATGCCATAGCAAGCTGTCCTATGTACTCTTCAAAAAGTTCGCTGCCAAATAGCATTGCAAATATTGCCGCAGGATCGATGATTGCATCACTGACAGGATGAACAAAAACAAGTAAGCACTGAGACCCAAAACTTTGCACCGAAAAGAGCCATGCCCTAGAGTACACAAGAAAAAGAGACTAACGTGGAGATCCCTGATTTCCCACATGCATCATAAGCTTGGCGTTGTCCTGAATCACTTAGCACTTGATAGGCCTCTCCCAAAACCTGATTAAGAAGTTACTTGTTGAATAACTATCCAAACATTCAATAAAAGTAGATGGTAAAACAATTTCATTCTATGCTTGATTTTCTTCAAAACTAATGCCAACATTTGCACTAGCCATGTAAACCATACATAAAATATTAAAGAAATAGAAGAGGAATTCCAATTCCCATTCTAAAGCATGAGTTTATCCCGCAGTAGATAAACCTAAAAATCAAAGCATTTTGCAGAAAAAGTTGGTACTAATGATTGTAGGCAACATCAACAAAAGCTTATCACCTAAATAAGTTTTTCAAAGTTAAGAAATCTGAACTTGCCTGGAAATTGTGTGCAGCTTGAGGATCATTGGGGTTCTTATCTGGATGAACTTGGCGTGCCTGTGTATCAAACAATCACTATAACCGTAAAACTAACAAATCTCAAACTGGAATTGTGCAGATTACAAAGCTACAATCACTTGTCAATTAGTGGGTACTGGAATCATCACTTGCCAAATTCAAATGGCTAATCAAACTCACCGGATCCAAAGAACATTCCAAAAACAAAAGGGTACCTTGAAATCAAGAGAAGAGAAAGATAAAAATTGAACCTTTATGTAGTAAGCTTTCTTGATCTCAGCTTCTGTAGCAGTTGGGCTAACTCCGAGCACATCGTAGTACTCCGTTTCCTTCACCATCTCTATACTCTTCGATCACAAATCAATCAAAATTCTCCACCAAATCTCTCACTAACTCAGATCGCCGGAGATGGATAACAGCAAACTAAGCAGAAGAACACCACAAATCTCTTGTCTTTCTCTTGTTTAACTCCGACGAAAACACTCCACGCGCCGGCGACGAGATTTCAAAATCAACCGCTAAGCTTTTTGGCTCTTTCTTTCAATTTACTTTGGCTGGTCGGGTCAAAGTAGAGATAAAGTCGTAACCTTTTTCTTCGTCTTTATTTGAATTCACAAAACCCATTTATATGTATTTTTAACCACGCGGTTTTTCGTCAGCTTCTCATTGGCTTTTTCCTTTTCTTCATTGATTCAATTCAAATAAATCATTTTTTTGGCAACAAATTAATTAAAAAAGATTATATCTTAGAGATGAAGGATCGATGTCGACCAAAAAAAAAAAAAAAAAAAAAGTAAGATGATGGATCAATGATATATAAAGTGACAATTATATTCGGAAATTATGTTCACAATTTAAGGAAAAAACAAAAATATTGAACACGTTTTGATAATCATACAATTATAAATCATTAATTTGAACCTTCCTAGCAATTTAGCGGGTGTCAAGCTAATTCTCATTTGGCTTCCAAGAGTTTAATATGGTCTTCGTTTCCTGCTTCCGCGGCTTTGGTCTTTGTGTCTTGTGGTTTGATGGGAGTGGAAGCGATGTTCTTTATTACACTAGAGTAAAGATCAAACTCTGCCTTTAGTTTATTACAGCTTGCTTGTATCCATTTCTCCGCCACACTTGTTGCTACACTGTCCTGGCTATCTCTCTCATGCTCCTCAATCGCTGGCCTTATCTCATCGTACAATGACGAGAGTCGTACTGCTGCCTCCTTCTTCACCTCCTGCAAGCAACAATTTACCAAACACATCGGATACTGAGAGGATGTTGAATTTGTACCTATAAGCTTGAAAAACTGTTTTACCTCGTATTTGAGAACTTCATCTTGAGCTTCTTTGGTTGCTAGTAGCTGAACCACATTCGCTATGTCAACATGCTTCTGGGCGACATTCTTTGTTTTCCCGCCTGAAAACGGCCTGCCTCTTTTCTTTGGAAGAGATTCAGACTTAATTTTGTAAATGTTACCGCGAACCCTTGATACAATTGCAGTCTTCGGCGATGAATCTTCTTGTGAATTTTGTGAGAGCAGCTTCATGTCTTCAGCTGTTTCGGTTTTAACAGTCTCCGTGACAACATCTTCCTCCATAGGTGTTGAATCTGATTGCTGAACAATCAGAGCAGTAGACTCCAAATGGTTCTCTGTTGAGATATCTTTCTCTTTCTCTTCATTTCTGTTGGACTCGTCATTCTTAGAGGGCTCAGATGTAAGCTCGTCCTCTGCAGAATCATAGACTGGAATTTTATCAACCGAATACCTGGAGACAAGAAAAGACAGGGGCTAAAATATCGCCAGTCCAAGATGAAAAAAATTCCTTTCTCACATGATCTATGACCATTTTTATGCCGCATAAAATAAGTGAAAAGAAAATTACCGATCGTCACCATCCTCCCATACATATGTATCCTCCTGAAATGGTAGAAAGGCATAAGATTAGGTATAGACCAGTATAATTAATATCATTCTTCCCAATTTCTGACAAATAATACTATTAGGATGATAATGTAAGGACTTGCCTGAAAGCCCCGAGACTTGGCTCCAAGAAATCCAGAGCATGCGACTGCACCACAGAGACAACGGACTTTCGCACCACCGTACCATTCAAAATTATAGTCGTAAGCCAATTCGGTCCGGGGAGAGATGCTCTCTTTTGCAAAGATCCCAACCCTAACTTCTCCCAGTACATTCCACTTCCTTGTCTCACAATTTGGTCTACTGCAAGAAAATAGAGAAAGAAACAATAAGGAACGTTTTATAGATATGAATTTCTTTGAAGCATGTAAAAAAGCCAGTTGTTTCTTTTACCATGAATGATTTATAAATCTAGCAAGGCTTCCCTTCTTAGTGGCATCAATAGCCTCAGACGCATTGAGAGATATAATGTATGCATCCTTGACACCTGCCCATGTAACACACAATTTAAACATCACCTAACGTCACCTAGATCATTACAACACTCTCATCATCTCTGTAAAGTTTCTACTCACCATGAGTTTCATAAGTTTGAGCCCTACGCTTTGCTTCTTTCCATGATATTACTTCGCCACAGTACTCAATTATAAACTGCCCCGCCTGCATCATAGCATCAAATACAACCAGTCATTTGATCAAACACAATTGAATATTTACTTTAGAAAAGAATACACCAGTCATGTTATTTGCCCATTTGCATTAAATCAATGAAGTGTGATGGAAATTGTCATAAATCTTGGTAAAGAGTATCAGACATGTTAAAGACACAGCAATAAGCTTGAGTCCTGACCTTTATGTCTTCGAGAGCCACTAGTCCCCAACCACGACCTTCACACTTGATCAACTTTGTTTTGGCGTATTCACATTTTTGGAACTTCTGTAACCGGCAAAGCAAGTAAAACTACTAAGTAACATTCATGTTAGCTCACATTAGTTTGAACAGGAACTTCTCAGAACATCACCAAGCTTTAAGGCAAATCTTCTGAATCACATAGATTCTAGAATAACATCAAAATGTAGAAGCAAACAATTCAAAAACCTGATTCTTGCAATAGACACCACAGGGGCAGTATCCAGGAGTACATTCGGTGTTGGTAATGACATTGAGGCATCTCTCACCACAAGCACTGTCAGGGTCTCCAAAATCAAACTTGCATTCGCAGATAGAAATATCTTCTTCCTTCTGTTTCTTGTGCCTATAGAAGCATAAAACAAATGTGTACTTAAATAACAACTCATATTGAGAAGATAACCAAAAGCCAAGAGCCAGCATCAAAAGAAAGGCTCTTACTTTCGATATGAGAAGTCATTTTGATAGATGTGTTCATATTGTGGCAGCTCATCTCCTTCTTGATCCTTGAGACAAACGCATATGAAACAAATAAATATATAAAAAGCTAAAAACCAAATCGAAATCTCACCCAATTTCACTTACAGGATCACAAGAAAATTGCATTTTTTTTCAGAGACGCAATCAGACTAAGGGCCTAGTATAGGTCAAGTTTCTACAAGAAAACGGAGAGAATTAGGTTTATCAAACGGAGAGAATTAGGTTCTCCCCCACTTTCCCATTATTTGTTTTAATTTTAAGATCGACACAAACTTTTGGAAAGGAAACGAAACGAAACCATAGTCACCCATCTTTATTTGAAAAACACACAAATGGATACTGAAGACGTTTACCTGAGAGTTTGAGAGAGAACGCAACGACGAGCGAGGAAGAAGAACAACAGACGGCGTTAAGAAAAGAATGTAACCTCTTCCCTTTCTCCGGCGAGTTTTCCGACTTTCCTTTTTTTTTTGTTAACTGGATCGTCTTTGTGTAAGGCCTTGGGCCTTGGCCCAGCTCAATTGAGAAAATAAAAAATATACTATAACTTAGCTAAAAAGAAAAAAATATTTTTATATAATTTTTGATTAAATTCTTTGGTACATGACACACTTTTTTTTACTTAATATTAGATATATCTAAATATATGTTTTAAACCTATGACCTTAATTAAAGTAGATATATTTTGTATCTAAAAATGTATAACAATCTATTAGTATTTAGTAGTACTTCTACTAAACAAAATTGATATATATATATATATATATATGAAGTTGAATGCGTCTCATTATAATTCGATACATAATATAATTATAATTTTTGAGACCGGAACACATGTCATTTGATTAATTACATTTTGTGTTAAATATTGTATCACGATTCTAAATTAATATTTTTGGAAAAAATCAAAAAAGAGGTCCCAATTTTGTTAGATACATTTATTTAGTTATAAAAAGCATCACTTTTTGGGTGTTTATATTGTGATGGGTACATACATGATACATCCAAAAGGAGTTATTGGCTAGAAGAACAAGTAAGAGGAAATGGCTCTAACGATGGAGATAGGAGTAGATAAAAAAAGAGTTATTGCCATCATCGTCGGAGTGATTTTAGCCGTGGTGGGTCTTGGACTATGGTTGCTCCTCATAAATCTTCATGTTATTTAAAATCGTAATACTATGATCGACCAAAAGTTAATCATCTTATCTTACAGGATGATAAATCTGTATTGACAAAAATTACATAAATATTTGCTACAATGATTTGAAAATGTGTTTGGATATCATCATTTGTGGTTTATTGGATAAACTCACCAGTGATGTGATGTTTTTTTTCTGAATTTCTCTGATACCATGTTGGAATCTTGACCTCCTCTATCACTTAGGGTCAGATTCACTCTTCTCTCTAGTTCTCTCTTTTACTTTGTTTTGTTAATCACAAAGCTTTTAGAACACTTAGAGAGATTCTCTTTGGATGTCTACATTGTTTCTCTCTTTAGATCTCTTGGAGATTAGGTTTAGCCACTTTAACCTTTTTCTCCTTAATCTCTAATGTTTTTTCATTACAACAACACAACCATATTTATACTATCTTACTTGTTTCCACCTTAACCTACTTAGCTTTGTCTATATTTTAAAAATTTAACTGTTTGATTTTTTTGGCTGTCAACTTAAAAGATTTGATCATATATAGATGTTTCTCATGTCAGCACAAGATTTTTTTTGTTTGATCAACTCACAAGATTAAAGCTATCCTTTAAAACCTATAAATATATGTAATTGCGGTTACGTTTATAACTATGTGTTTATGGTTATTTTCTTATACAAAACATGGTTTGTAATTAATAGTATTTGATTTAATCTGGCCATATTTTAGTGTGATTAGTGGTGATGATTCTCCACATAAATTGTCTCCGCCAGGCCAAAAAGTAAACCTAAAAAGTGTTCCATAGATAGAACTGAGCCTAGGCGTGTGTTCTGAGAAGTATGTTTTTGGATAACCGAAGCTGGAGCTTTTTAACTAACTGTCCTGATCTTAGATGTTTTTTTTTGTTACTAATTTCCAGTGTTCAAGAAAGCGCTAGGCGCTAAGCGGGCGGTGACCCAGTGCCTAGCGCCTAGAACGCCTAATCGGAGCCTAGGCGATTTTTTAGGCGGTTTAGACGTTTATAACATAAAACATTATAAATATGATATTATATATAAAAGTTATATAAAATATTTATATAAAACTAAAAATTATGAAATTATAAACAAAAACTAAATAAAACATTTATTTATATTCATATTAAACAATATATGAATATTTATAACTATATATATAAATAAAACTCTAATTGAAATTGAAAAAATACATTAAACAAGTTCTATGTAATTTTAGACGGTCAAGGCGGTTATCTAGGCATCGCATGAGAGCCTAGCGCCTAGTCGGAGCCTAGGCGACCGTCTAGACCGCTTTTTAGAACACTGCTAATTTCTAACAAGATTTTAACATCACATAGAGAACATAATTAGACAAAAACATATATTCGATTGTCAAAAAAAAAAAAAAATTAGTCAGTCAAAAAGGCAAGTAAAGATGATCTGTATCTCAAGATTCTTTTTGTTTCCCTGCAATTTGCCAGCATGAAGAGAAGGTTAACGACCAGCACTTTTGAGGGAGAAAATAAACAAAAACAAATACAATTTTTGGTTTAAGCTCTCTCCGGGAAGATAAATCGCTTTGTTCTGCAGCAGACACGACATAACAAGGCCTGCGAGTTTTTTTTAAGCTCTAGCGTAGACATTTGACTGTTCAGGGAATCTTGAAGATTCTCTTCAGTTTCACAAGGAGCTTCCATTTCTCTGTCGACATTTCTTTCTGCAATTGTTATGTCTTTTAATTTCGAGCATTTTTTTATTTGGACAGAATAAATGATTCAAAGAAAAAAACTTATCTTATCCTCGACTTACCATGTAGTCAGCTTTGAGTATGTCGATAGATCTCCTCGAAATGTGACTCACAAGCTCATCTTCCATGTCAAAATGCCTTCCAAACATCTTCTGTTCTTCACGATTTGAAGCAACAATCTGTTATACCATAGAAAAGCATCTCGATTACAAGGTGAATGCATCAAGTTGAAACCTCAGCAACTTTTGTCTCTCTCTCTCTCTCTCTCTCTCTCTCTCTCTGTATACAAAAGTTGTTGAAGGGAATGATCCCTTTATTACCTTAATCGCCACCTCCTCGCCCTTCTCTGCGTAGTCAACAGGCTTGTGGTTGTTCTCAATAGAGGCAATGCGACCAATATCGATGAACTCTCTGCCCGGGACGCAAATGGGGGTTCCAATCTAAAAACCAAGATAAATGGTAAAAGGAGTGAGAAGTTGTGTCAACATGTGAGCAAGTTACCGAGAACATAGCAGAGTAAGAATAGGATACCTTAAGTATACCGTCGTGGACCTTAACTCCAAGGATTATTGGGTCTCTCTTATTGAACACACAGTTAGGTAAAATCTGAAGGACACATGGGAAGACTGCCTCACCGGCTGATTCCTTCATTTTCTCCTCTTTGATATTCTCAATGTAAGCCTTAAACTGATCGAATAAACGATAGATGATATCAGCGCAAAAGATTTTTACTCCCATTTCGTCTGCAAGTTCACGAGCCTCTGTAGTCACTTTCACATCAAATGCCAAAATTGTAGCATATTCCTTTTTCTTCTCGAGCATCACTCCAGCCTTCATTATATCCTTCTTATGCACAGGCCCTATGCCAATACCACTGACAGGTATATTTACAGCTGGGGACTTCAAGAATTCAAGCAATGCTTCTAATGACCCTAATGTAGACGCTTGTACATAAACTCCTTCACCACTATTGTCAATCCTGCTCAAAACTGATTCCATATCTTCCATAGCCGACTCCTTAATTGCCTCGATGTCATCATCAGGTCCAACCACATGCAGGGAAGTACCAGCAATTGCGTGTTCAAGGCCCTTTTAAACACAACCCAAAATATTTAGGATATGATCTAAACGTCAGTATATTTAACACCAGCTGCTAGCGACAAAAATTATTGTAGAGTTTGTCCATTTCACCTGGGCGGTAATTTTGATGCCCTGTGCAGCCTTTATTTCTTTGTGATGCAGATAAGTACCCTGCAACATCAAAACAACACTTTTTGTAATGTATGTTTCTCGAGGAAAAAACAGTAACAAGACACATGAAGTGGAGATCTGAAAGTACCTTCACTCTTAACTCCTTCATTGGATGAGGAGTCAGTAATGCTCTAATCGTTGTGACAATAGGTCCCTGAAATATGAGGAAGAAATAAGATCACTTTTCTAAGTTCTATGTATACCCAGTGCATTACTTGTTTGGATCATTAGTTTTTACGTGCCTGTAACCCACAAACGACGATTTGATCACCTTCATGGAGTTCACCGTTTACCAACACAACATCAATCGTTGTACCATGGCCTTCAATAACTTTGACCTCAAGGACAGTACACTGTTCAACCATTTCAAGAAAGGATCAGAATCCTCAGGCTCAAGTAATGCAGAAACAAGTGTTACCTAAAAGAGAAAGGAGAGACACCTTCACTTTGTCAACATAAGTAAGCTTCTCAAACATTGTTTTCTGAGCCCATTGAACCAACAACAGCAAGAGATCTGGGATCCCTTCCCCGCTGAAATATCAAGAACCAAAGTTACCCAACTTGTCTGTTACGATGTAAATCAGTTAACAGAGATTCATACGTCATGAATCATACCTTTTAGCACTAGTAGGAACAATACTGAAAGTTTCGCCCATTTCTTTATTCTTGTAGTAAAGCTCGGTGTTAAGTCCTTGCTCCTTGAATTGGGTAATAATCTGGAATACCAATGAAAGAACATAATTTGAAGAATATGTTCACCAAGTGATAGCTCAAACCATAAATAAGAAATTTTAGATGTATAACTTACCCGGGTCAGCCTCAAGTTAAATTCATTTGTAACATCTTTAGATTGCTGCTTCATTGCCTTCACGATAGGAGCATTCTTGCATGTTTTCCATCCATAGAGTAAATCCACCTGTAAGTTGAAGGTTTTATTTTCCATAGAAGTATTTACAACAGAGAACAAAAACCCATCCTAGCAGAATGACAAGCAGTCTTACCTTATTCAATGCAACAATGAACTCTGTATTCCTCATTCTCAAAAGACTTAGAGATTCTATGGTTTGTGGCTCTAACTCATGCATTATGTCAACCACCAAAATTGCAAGGTCACACAAACTTGAACCTCTTGAACGCAGATTCGTGAAGGACTCATGGCCAGGTGTATCGATAACTAATAGACCTGGCACCTTAATTTTTGCATCGGCTTTCAGTTCCCTGGTCCTCTCTCGGATGTTTTCCGCAGGGAAATATGTTGCACCAATCTGCTGAGTAATACCTCCAGCCTCACCTTCCTGTACATTTGTTCCTCTGATGCAATCCAACAGCTTTGTTTTACCAGTATCAACATGACCCATGATACAGCAAATAATAGAACGGAGATTTTCTCCACCTTCTTCTATAAATTCACTTGGAGCTAAGCCTTTACCCTTCTTAGCACGTTTTGTCGGCGTAGCATGTTCCACTTCAGACATAGCTTTTACGACAGCTGTTCTTGGCTTGCTCATACCTGCTGGTTTAGCAGTTGGTTTTTCAGTTTCATGGTCAGTACAAATTAAAAAACTGAGATTAAAAACAGACAATGGATGAAACACTAGGAAGAAGAACAAAGAACAACATTTCATACTAACCTGAATCATGTGCCTTTGATACAGCATCTTTTAATTCTTTCTTAACCACAGGCTGAGGTTCTTCCTCTTCGTCATCAAATTCACCTTTGAGGTTAAGATCAACAGTATCCCAGCTTTTTGCATCCCATTCATCATCTTCCTCAATCCCATTCTCCTGAGCAACATCAGCAGGTTCTGATTTCTCGTCTGTGTTTGCTGACTCAATTAAATCAACCTTTCCAGTGTCTGTTAAACCCACTTCACCTAAAGTATCTGGTTCATCTGCTTTATTCTCTTTTGGCTCTACCTCATCTTCCCTCTGAACATAAGTGTCAATGCCTTTCTGGTGAGCAGATTTTTTCTTGTTGGCATAAATGGGACGCTTTGAGGAAGTAGCATCACCATCATTATCTGCAACAGGAAGACCTCCACCAGCAGCCAGCAGCTGGTTCTTAAAAGCCTCCCTCTTTAGAGCTTCACTCTTTTGCTTTGCTGTTAGAAGCTTGCCCTCTTGCTTCTTCCTCAACAGTTTCTCCTTTTCTTTTTCCTTTCTCTTACGCTTAGCCTCCTCAGCTTGAGCCTCAAGCTCTTCCTGCCTGCGGCGCTCCTCTTCCTCCTTCCTCAATTTTTCTTCTTCTTCCTTCTTTTTTCTCTCTTCGGCTTCTTGCCGCCGTGCAAGAGCCTCTTGCATCTCTTTAACATGTTTAGGGATTTTCTTCTCTGCTGCTTTACCCTTTGCATCCTTCTTCTTCTCCTGTAGTGGCTCAGTTACTGATTCTTCTTGTTTTCCCTCCTTAGCCTCTACAGAAGAGGTTGCTGCAGCAGCTGCTGCTTTTTTTTCCTTCTCTTTCTCCTTCTTCTTTTTCTTTTTCTTCGCTGCAGCAGTCTTAACAGTCTCTTCTTCTCCTTCCTTCTCATCAGCATTCTCTACAGGTGCAACTGGCCCAGGCTGAGCTTGAACCTTCTCCTCTCCAGGCGTCGATGAAGCAGGTCTTCCAGCAGCAGGGGTTTCTCCAAATTCTTCAAGAACATTGTCAAAATCATACTCTTCCTCTGCTGTCCTTCCACTCTTATTCTTCTTCTTCTTTTTCTTACTCTTTCCAGTTTCTATAACCTCCACACTCTTAGTATCAGGAGTTTTAGCTTGACTAGTTTCGTAGGCAACTGAGTCATCACCTACTGAGGCCAAAACACTGCTGCCCTTCTTTTTACCAGAAAACGTGATTTCGAGGCTCTCTTCATCTCCCATTGTATTTTTGCCAAGTCTAGAGGTCGAAGCATCTGTCCCTTCTTCCTCATCAAGCAAAGCAACTTTATTAGTGGTCTTCTTAGAAGATTTGGAGGACTTCTTTTTCTTACCAGAGAAGATGATAGGATACACTTGTTCCTCATCACCATCCACTTTCTCTTCATCCTTATCACCACCAAGGGCATCAAAAGCTGAAACCGCAAAGCCTTTTTTACCCTTGTTAGATGCATGCTTCTTACCCGTAAAACTTATAACTGGCTCATCATCTTTGTCACCATTAGATTCATTATCATCCTCTTCCTCCTTATCAGCAAGCAGGGCAAAGCTAACAGAGCCACCTCCGTTCTTACCTTTCGATTTCTTCTTCCCTACAAAAGCATTCTCGGGAACAACCTCAGCAAAATCATCGTCCTCCTCCTGCTGCTGCGTACCCTTCTTAATACTCTTCTTCTTCCCAGTGATAACAACTTTCTCTTCCTCAACTCTAGGCTCCTCAGTTTTTATGGAGTACTCACCATCATCATCATCATCAATTTGAACAGCTTTCTTATTAGATTTAGCACCAACGAGAGGTGGTTGCTCATCATCTCCACCTCGAGAACTACTCGGCTTCCTCCGACCCATTGGTTCCGAATACTTCCTACAAATCAGCATGAATATTGTGATGACATCTTTTTATATGGCATTACCGAATCGAGCTCGTGCATCTTTTAATTTAATTTTTTTATCAAAAAAAAATCTCCTACCCTTAATGATTTTCTAAAAAATATTTAAAATCCTATTTTATTTGGATCTAGCATTTGGTAAAATCATTTAAAATCTAAGATTATATCTTAAAATCTCAACTTATTGCAAATTCAAAGATTTCATTCTATAAAAATATCCAAAATAATCTGGAATGATTTTAGAAAACAATTAATAGTTAAAAATATCTTCAAATAATTTTTTTTTAAACATATTAGCTTACTTTTTGATTATTGAATATTAATAAAAATTAAAATAAAAACTTAAAAAAAAAAATCCGAATCTCATCCTAGACAAAATTTACATTAACTATAATTATCATTTTCAATTATAAAATTAAATTTTTACTTTAAATAATCGGAGTAATAATCACAGTAAGTGTACCATTAATCGAAGACCTTTTCATGTGCTATCAACATTAATCATCTTCTTCTAAACATCCCAAATTCACATTAAATCCCAAAACCAAATAAACAACGAAATATTTACATACATGGCACACAACTGCAATATCAATATGATAAGACTGCATGGTATATATATTATAAAAACGGGATTTGAATAAGCAAGAAACCGCTACAGAGATACCTGCGATCTCACCTGAATCAATTATAGGCTAGTCGAAGAGTGATTCCCTGCGCCAGGAGGTGGCGCTGGTCGTGGTAAGTACTAGTTGAAATGTTCATCTCCAAGTTTTGAATTCCTCCACGTTAGGGGCTTTGTGGTTCCAACAAGAAAACAGTTTATCTTTCGATTTGAACGTTTTTCAAGAGACTCTGACTGATTCAGAGTGTTTTTACTAAACACACAAGCATGAATGTTATCTATCTAACACAAGTCAGCTAAAGAAGCATTTGACCATTGTTGAATATGGAGGGATATGAGTTTGGTAAGATGGAAATTAAAGATCAAAGAGAAGCTAAAGGTTTATGTAAAATGATACCTGAGGACCATAGATAGAGTGAGATGCTTCATTGGATTTTGGTGATGTAGAGGTATCATCATCGCGGTCCCTTCCATTTCCGTTTAACTTTTGACGTGCATTGTTTGCTAAAGGATCACTCTCACTAGCTGTTTTGGCTCTCTGTAAGAGCGAAAAGTTAAATCCTTTAGGTTAGTCTTTTATCTTAATTCCCAAATCACATTTGAACAGACTTGAATTTGAGTCGGTCACTGAGAACCTCAGAAAGCTTGTCTTCTCTTTCTTTCTGAAACAAAACACAATCTAATATTTTAGCAAATTTTTTAAAAGGAAGACTTTGGTTTGAGCAGGGGACACTAATAAGTCCAAACTTACCCTCATTTTTTCTTGTATCTTTTTTGGCATCAAACTGGTGTGAAGATTATAAAGTAAAGCCATTGATGCCATGGCATCCTATGTACCCTTCAAAGATTTCGCTACCAAAAAGCATTGCAAATATTGCCGCAGGATCGATGACTGCATTTTGCACCAAGAAAAGATCCATGTCATTAGACCTGAAGGGTTGATGAATAACAAACACCTGAATAACAAGTTACGTTTTCAAAACACTATCCAAAACATCCAATATAAGTAGAAACATCCAAAACGTTTTCAAGACAAATCTCCAATAGGAACGACACCAATTTCAATTCTCTCATTCTTGATTTTTAAAAAATGAACATTGTTATCTAGAGATAAACTTAGAAATCCAAGAATTTTGCAGATAAAATTGGTACTAATGATTGCAAGTAGCTTTCTATATATGTTACAAACTTACAATACATAAAGCTTATCACCAAAGTAAGTGATTCCAAGAATGGAATTTGTTAAAAGCTCAATCTTTTTTGAAATCTACACTTACCTGGAAATTTTGTCAGCGATTCTCCCAATTTTCTACAAAAACCAGAGACAATTTAGGTATTAATATTGACATCAACATTGGGAAAGGAAGAAACTTGCGTCTACAAACGAAAACCACCGGAAAACTGAAGACGCTTACCTGAGAGAGACCGCGACGACGAAGAACAATAGACGGCGTTAAAGTTATTTTTCACGGCGTTAAGAATAAATTGTCCCCTTGTTTCACTTTCGATTGGGCTTTTTCTGGGCTTCCTTGTTGGGTTATTTTTATTTTATTTCTTGCTTTGTGCTGTATTTTCAATTAATAAATTGAGATGGCAAGATGTTACAAACAAAAAAAAATGAGATGGCAAAGAAAAAAACTATATAGTTAATTTTATGTAATTTTTTTATGAAATTCTTTGGCAAATGTCCCAATCTATTTAATATTTTTATTATAAATGTCACAATCTATTAATATTAGATATACATAAACATATGTTGTGACCTAATTAATTACTAGATATAACATATATCACGAATTATTTAATATTATATTATATCAAACACATGTTATAATCTGATTAATATTGCATATAGTTATTTGAGCTCATTTTAAGATTTATTCCAACTATAAAAACCCACTTTTATGTTGCTATGGGTACATCCAAACTTTTACATAATAAAAGAAAAAAATCATAAACAAAAAACACACAAATAATTGTTGGTGAGAAGAACAAGTAAAGGGAAAATGGGTTTTGCGGTAGGGCTAGGGATAGGCATCGGTGCCGGGGTGATTATAGTCTTGGTGGCTGTTGCGGTATGGTTCCTCATCCAAAAGCTAAAATCGTAATACCATGATGTGTTAAACTTAAACGTAATCAGCGTATCTTCAGTTCTTAAACAATCAGTTTTCATGGAGAATAACTGACTATAATTAATTTGTATTTCAATATTTCTTGAATAAGACATTTTACAAATTATAGACGAAAAACATCTATGTGGTTATTGCTATAATTGGTTTGAAAATGTGTTTGGATAATGGATAGCCTCACCAATTATGTATTGCTTAGCTTTTTACTACGTTTCACTACTCAAATCCATCATATACATTACCTCTTAGTATCTCGATCGTACGTATAAAATAGTAACCGAAAACAACCGCTAACAAACGGTTTTGTCGAACAAGCAATCAATTGGCCAAACCTAGAAGCCATTAGTTACCGTAGGGTAATTCCTCAGATGGTCTACTTGAAAGTTTACGACCAATCTTCTTTTCCAACCGTTTCTCAGTATCCGAATCTGTTGTAGCTTCTCCAGTGACATATGCAATTTGTCCCAGCAGATTCCTTCAAAAAAGAGAAAAGAAAAGAAATATCAGCTCTCATGAACAAATGAATAATACTGAATCAAGGAAAGAGTTCATCAAAATGACTTGAGTGAGCGCATACAATACAATATCCACAAGAACGTACGTCGTGAATCGCCAGTTTCTCGAGGTCGAGGGGTATATTATTATTGGCCACGAGCTGACAATCATGTACTGCAAAAGAAGTAAAAGCTTCATGAGGTCCTTAAGAAAGCTTTCCAAAGTTGTTTCTTTTTTTTTTCAAAAAAAGCTTTCCAAAGTTGTTCAAACATACATATAAAATTGCATGTATGTTTACCAAAAAAAAAAAAAAAATTCATGTTTTCTTGACCAAAAATATATGTTAAAATTAGAGATATTGTTTAAAATATAACTTATTCTACGCTACAAAGAAAATCCTCAAGCTATCAGCTTATCACTAGTCGTAACTCGTAACTGACATTTGTTTTTTAAAATTACATATCTTTTTACCAATAAATATTGATTATTATTGTTTTTTTTTCTTAGTTCTCTTAGATACATTTATAAATTAATCTTTTAAAATAGTTATTACTATATATTTTTAATGAAAAATGTCACAATCATTTTAATTGATATACTTAAAACATAAACTATATTTAATTTTTTTTTATCTATTTCATTAATAGTATAATGTGTGTACTAAAGATACATATTTTATGACATAATTTATAGTAGATCTAGCATACATATAACACAGTCAACTTAATATTAGATATAGTAAACAGCCGTCAAAAAAAATATATAGTAAACACATGTCATCAATATCTGATTAATATTAGATATAGTCAAAAGCTTTATGTACTTATAAATACCATTTTTCTATTGCTAATGGGTACATCACATAAAAATAAGATCATAAACAGATAAACTACTACACAAACGCACACAAAAATTGTTGACTGTGAAGAACAATTAACAATTAAGCGAAAATGAATATTGCGGTAGGCGCCGGTGCCTGGGTGATCGTATTCTTGGTGGCTATTGGTGTATATTTCCTCCTCAAAAAGCTTAATAAAATTATCACCTAAAATCGTAATTATTGGGATGAGTTAAATGTAATCATGTTATCTAATTTAATAATTAGTTTTCATGGAGAATAACTGACGAGCCATAGCCCATAAGTATTTCTTGAATAAGTGTTTTTAAAATTATAGATGATAAAAATATGAATAGACGAAAAAAAACTATGTATGAATTATAAATTATTGTTACAATGGTTTGAAATGTGTTTGGATAATGGATATACTCATTAATTATTGCGTAATTTTTTTACTCAAATGTGTTTGGATAATGGATAAACTCATTAATCATTACTCAAATCCATCATAATATACATATCATTTGTTTTATTATCGTATAAAACAGTAACCGAAAACAAACCGGTAAAAACCAGGCGGTTTAGTAGAACAAAAAAACCAATTGACCAAAACTAGAAGCCGTTAGTTACCGGCGTTTGCGCTCAGCAGTAGGAGGTAATTTCTCAGATGGTCCAGTCGGAAGTTTACGGCCAGTATTCTTTTCCAATCTCTTCTTTAGCTCTCTTAGTATCCGAATCTGTCCTAGCTTCTCCGGCGACAGTTTGTCCCAATAAATTCCTGCAAGAGATAAAGAAGAAATCAGTTATAAGGAAAACAATCACTGAATCAGGCATAGAATTCAGAAAACAATCTAGTGAATCGGCTGATAATTCAGAAAACAATGTACTGACAAATTCCATGAAATCTTGAGTTAATAAGGAATTCAAGAGTCAAGACCTTGTGGTTTTGGTATTGGTGTATTTGTGAAAATGACTCGAGTAGGAGTGCATATGATATCCACAGGAACATCGTGAATAGCCAGTTTCTCTAGGGGTATATCGTCCACGAGCTGACAATCATGTACTGCAAATGAAGTAAAACCTTCATGAGTCATGAATATGAAGGTAACAGAAGAAAACAACAGAAAGGTTTCCAAAGTTGTTCCAAGTTATATCTATACCGGTTGTAACTACAGGTGTGGAATCATCAATGGCTCCCATGTAACGCAACATTCCATATTCGAGTTCCGCAAAACCCTGCACACATAATGAGGGAGTCATATCAAACTCCAATCATATGGTTGGTTCAAATGAATTTTTCTTTTAAGTAAAAATTGAATTGTAACAAATCTCACCTCTCCTTTCCCTAATCTAGCACCCGTTTGTGGGTTAACCGCAACAGAGCCAATGACGATGAGATCAACTTTGATTTTCTCATCAAGGCCAATCGCTCTTCCATATTTGGCTACTCCTACAGAAGTGCAAGCCTCCATGATCGTTTCTGGTTTCAACAAATCAGATTCTAGTACAGAGAAGAATCCTGTTCTTAGCCTAGGTTGAGGAGTCAACAGCTTCTTGTCACCTACAATTACAGACCACAAAGAATACTTACTCTTACATCATCAGAAGGAAATAAAACTTTCATGTGACAATGCAACAGTTTTGTGGCCAAGGGATTGAAGTTTGAGAATATAAGGTCAAAACTCTAGATTGTCAAGAATTTGCTCAGACATAGCTATATTAACTAACCAGAAAGTGTAAGAAACCTGATTTGCTTTTGTGGCGAATCGGGATTAACCTTCACGACCATAGCCTTACGAAAATCGTCAAGCTCGGCTAACTGCACCAAGAAAAATTCAAAATTTGGCAAATTCGCAAATAAAGGCATAACTTATCACCAAGAGAACGTCTTTGTTTCACTGCAAATGAATATCATTCCCTATCAAATCCAGCTCTTACAATTTTCTAACATTTGGGTCGTCTCGTTTTCTTTAGCTAATTCACTGGCATTGATAGGGTTGTGGCAAGATCAATCCTCCTAAAGGGCAAGAACATCAAATAGGTGAAACCAAACAAACACATCTTGGTGTCACCTATTTGATGTTCTTGTGCCTTTGGAGGACTGATCATGAAGCAACGTTATGTGATCATCTAGAAATATCAATGCCAGTGAATCAGCTGAAGAAAAGACGTGAGAAAATTGTAAGAGCTGGGTTTGATCACAGTGAAACAAAACCTAGAAAGTGAAGAAGGAAGGTCAAAGTCGCAAACTTTTCTTGCAGCAGCCGATGCACCGACGAAATTAGGGATTCGATGATGAACAGGTCTAGGGCTCATTGCGTAGTTCCGAGCTTCCATCAGATCCCACATCTTCTTCCTGATAACCCATTTCCACGCTTTCGGGTCATTATCTGGATCCGATTCTAGTTCTTTCTTCGCCGTCTCGGCCATATCCTCCATCGCCGCCGCATCGAGGCTCAACCTCTCAGATTCATAAGCCACAGCATCGAAAGCGACGCCGTCGCCGCTCTCCGACCCGATTCTAGAGAAATTCCTCCGCCGTGACCCGATTTGAGCGGAGAGAGAAATCGATTTCTGGGAATTGACAAAGGTATTGGAACGAAAACAAGGATTGATTGCAAATCCAGGTGATAATCTTATCATCGTTAGATCCACGAACGAACATACTCAATTAGAAAAATCTCAGCTTTGTCAGTGTTCTTGACTTCTTGTTAAAAGATAAGAAATCAACGGCTTAGATCATCTGTTTCAGTTCCCGCTGAAAACACTTGATTCACTCTTCTTCACCTCGAGGGTTTCAATTTCAAATTTTCTCTTTAATTAATTTAATTTAATGGGCCTTTTATCGGCCCAATAAGTGATTCTTCTTCAATACGCTTCCGCGACCTTTTTTCGTTAACCCATCGGCGTCATAAGTACACGCGCTCTCCATCTTGTGCATCGGACGGGTAAATAAGCGAGTACACAAAAAAAGAGCGCGTGGTTCCGAGAGCGGGTTTGCCAAATTCAAATTTGAAACATTTATCCCCATCCAATTATCTGAGACGATTCTAATTCCCAAGCTTCTTCGATTCTCTAAACTCTTTCACTGTATAAATCCTTCACTTTGTGTGGGTGTTTAGTGATTCATGGTGAGAGAAGAATTTCACATTGTTTCGATCTTGGAAGATGGATTTTCATGGAATGAAGAGGAAGGATCTACAAGCTTTATGCAAAAAGCATGGAATCCCAGCAAATTTGAAGAACACTGAGATGGCTAATAGGCTCGTTTCTGTTCTCGAGGTAACTTCTTTGATTAACTTGTACCGTTATCTTAGAATCGTCGGTTGATTTGTTTGTGTGTTTTATTATGTAGAAAGAAACTTTAACGGATACGATAAGTTTGTCTGAGGATTCTGTTGAGGTTCTTGAGGATGATATAGTTGTTAAGAGAGTAAGATTCAGTCCTGAGAATGAAGTTTTTGAATTCACTCGATCTGTCAAGAAATGTCAGCGGAAGAATGTGAGAACGCTTAGCAAAGGGAATGTTCAAGATCTTCAAGAAAGTGGAATAGAGCTAAGGCGGTCTACGCGAATTGTGGCTAAGGGGAATAAAACAGTAGCTGGATCTAATGTAAACGAGTCAACCGCAAGAAGAGGTCGTTGGTTTGATGTTACAAAAGGTCTTAAGGTCCCAAGGCCGTTGAAACGAATTGGATCTAGTGGTACTAGTCAAGAAGACTGTAAAGTAACGGAGTTGATGGCTTTGGAACAGGATGGTGTCAAGTTTGAAAAGATTGGGAGACCGCCCACACCGCTGATATCAAAGACAGGAGACTTGTTACCTGTTAAACCGTCAAAACTACTTGTAGACATTTATAAAGAAGCTAAGCTTGTCAAGAATAATGTGAAGGAGGTATTGCAAGGTGATCCTAAATTTGAAAAGGTTTCTAGGCGATCTAAACAATTGGTGAATGGCATCGATGTTCAGACCAATACTCAGGATCAGAGAAGGTCAATAAGGCTTAAAGCTAGAGCTGCAAACCCATCTATGGAAGGTGAGTCATCCGATGGTAGACCTTTATGTTATGCTAGGGAAAGTAAAGAAGAAATAAAGACTACTAAGCAGTCAAAAAGATCTACGGTGGTTAATAGTCGAGAAGGTGAGCTTGTTAAATATAAAGCAAAGGAGCCTTTGATAGATTGTAAGGTTCAGACAACTGAAGATTACCGTAGGCTGAAAGTCCAGGATGCTTCTAAAGTTGAAAACGTTCCTCGGCGTTCAAAACGAGGTTGCAACGACATTAATGTGCTGATGGATAAGCGGCCCATTAAGGCTGTGAAGCGTGATGACCTTGGAGTAAAAAAGGCTCCAAAACACTCTAGGCAACGTGTAAAGAGTCTCAGTGAACGCCTAGTAGATGGCCAAGCTCAAAAGGGTGATAAACAACCAAAGAGAACTTTTGGAAATGATCGTGAGGGTAAAAAGCTTCTCCAAACTTCGAAGCACACTGCATCAGATAAAATGTTGGGTCAAGCACTGAGTGATTCACTGAAAAGTTGTTCAGTTATTGACTGCGAACGAGATGGAGTTGGTAATGTGAAGAAGTCAAATGTGAATGATGAAATGCAGGTCCGTGTTAGAGTTTCCAGGAGCTCTTTGAGGCATCATTCATTTAAGGTTCCAATAGAGGTTGAAAGGAATCTGATTGATGAGAAGACAGATGAAACTCTTGACTCTCTTGTCAAATCATCTAAAAGAGTTACTAGGATGACGAAGCGGGATAGATCAGCAGAGCCAGGGAAGGGCATAGAGACTGCATCAACTCAGAGCAATCTAACGCCAAAAAAAGGTTTGGATGAGTACATTCAGTTTGACCAAGAAGAAGGAGGTGGTGCTAATGTGGAATCTCGAGGCTCTTCCAAGAAGTCAAAGACAAGGAATCAAGAATGTGTTAAGGATATGCCACAAGGAATGATTGAGAACTCACCTTTTTTCTCAGAAACCAAAGCTGCAGAATCTGTTGTGATGACTACTGAGAATGTTTTGGATTCTACTCTGGAAAAATCAGTTGATAGTTCTCAAAGAACAAACATTCAAGAGTTGAATTCTGAACTTATGGAAGGAAATAGTGAAGAGAAACTTGAGCGAGATACAGTTTCGATGGTTGAATCTGCGGTTAGCGAACACAGCTCTATAGAAGGTAAATATATTTGATTCATTTGATCTGAAGCATTTTCAGTGTTATGGCTAACTAATTATTTTATAATCTGTGTTTATTTCTGATGTTTAATCACAGCAATCCTGGAAAACTCAGCTGAATGTTGGAAAGAGATTCACCCAAGCAAAGATGGTGAGAAAGGTTCCGTAGAGAAAGAAGCACAAGGTGCAAATTTACATGGAAATTGTATTGAATACAAAACTGAGAAAAACAGTGCCGAAGAAGAAATGGAGATTACTAAGGTTGGTTGTGTGAATCTAACACCAGAAAAACTTGTGGATCAGTACACTCAGTTGGAACCAGAAGAAGCAGAGGGCGTTAATATTGAAGCAAGAGGCTCTTTCAAGAAAATGAAGACAGTGAATCAAGAATCCGTAAAAGATAAGCCACAAGGAATGACTGAGGAGGCCTCACCTTCTACATCTGAAACCAATGCTACAGAACATGTTATGATTTCTGAGGATGTTTTGAATTCTACACTGAAAGTTTCAGGTGATTTTTCACCAGTAAGAAACACTCAAGAGTTGGATTCTGAACCTCTGGACGAACAACATGAAGAGAAACATGAGCAAGAGACAGTTCTGATGGCTGCGATTGAGGAAAAAGAGGAAACATCATCACTGTCTGTATTGCAAGTTGACTGTGGCATTTTCACAACTCCCGAGAAACATTTACTTCTGGAAACAGATGAAGGGGTAAAAGAAGACAATATAACTGCTAAGTCTCATGTTGTGAATGATGTTCTCGCTGCTGCTGTGCCCCAATCTCTTATGGGAGACTCTGAGCCAGATGAAGCTGAAAAATACAGAGAAATCAAGGATGTGGAAAGGTTGGGTGAATCTAACACTTCCACTCACCCAGAGAGACAAATAATGTTTGGAAACTCCGTACTAGATGAAACAAAAGATTATTCAGCAGCCACTTGCGAAGTGGCTTTTGTTCTCACTTCTGCAGAGAGACAACTTTTAGTTAACTCTAAACCATACAGTGATGGAAAGCAAGAACAAAAGGAGGTGGATGACAGTGTGGTTCAGGAAAACACCATTGTTGACTCAAGCGGTAGTATCGCATCCAAAGTTTCTTACAACCATGAGCTTAATGCTGGGCAAGAAACTGCAGGTGCAGAGGATGTTGTAGGTCTAGATGCTACACAAGGAACATCAAAGAAAAGCAGAGAGCATTCTCCACATGTTGACACTGAGGAGGCAGAGACAATCATGGAAGCAGAAAAAAATATTTCCTCTAGCTCCTTTGTTGCGTTACCAGCCGAAGGTAACAACTCCGAGACAATTGGTGAAATTTCCAGCTACCTTGAAGTCGCTGGAACCTGTTCTATGGTGTCAGGTGAGCAACTTCTTTTTTTGAAAAAATGCATGGAGTCAATATAATATAAATCATCTAAAGTAACCATAAGTTAATCCTTTTTCTCTGAAGTGATTATGCTTATCTCATCATATTAGTTGAGTCATATAAATGTAAAATGTTCATATCTCTTTCTCCACCCCTGAAACGCAGTAGAATCTGGTCCTTCCACAGACATTCAGAACCAAATAAATGATGCGTTGGAGGAATGGGCAATAACAGGTAATTACCACTCTATTTTTCATCATCACATACTTTGTTTCTGGAGGCATACATAATAGCAAGATAGTTAAATTATTTCCTATCATTTTAAGACAATAATGAAGTAGATGAGGTCGTAGAAGCAAAGGTAACAGAGAACATTCAAAAAGGCTTCGAAGGAAATCTCCTTTTGAACTCCTCAGGTGGTGGCTCTAATGTCTCTGAAGAGACATGCATCTTAGGTGAAACGGAGGATGAAGATGAAGCAGCTGTTCCAATTGCTATTGCCGTTGGTAAATTTCTTTTCTACATCTAATCAATTTCTTGGTGTTATTTACTACATTTGGAATCTCTTGACTAATTATTGCTTCTACTCAATCCATTCTCACAGAGAAAGCTATCTCCCTGACTCCTGATGAATTGACTGTTCAGAATCACATTAATGAAAAAGGTTAGATTTCTTACAAATGTTATTTCTCTTATATCCAACAAAATAGCTAAAACAATGACTAATTTCTAGAATCAATTACCTTTTTCTTGTTTCTTTTTAAAATAGCTGCAGATGAGGAAATGATCACGAGAGAATCTACTCCAATTCCTGAAGAAACCATGAATGAGTCCTCTGAGAACAGGAAGGAGTATTTGAACATTGATGAATCAGCTACGTTATCCAAGAGGCAAGTAAGAAGAGAACCAACCTTGATTTTCAGAACACAAGTGAAGCCTACGAAGCATGACATGAAAGAGAATGCACCAAACTCAAAGAGTGTGCATAATCTTAACGTAACAGCTCCAAGAACATCAAAGAGACCGCCTCTCCAAGACTTGAGCAAGAACTAGAGTGACTGATTTGCATATCTCATGCACGTTTAGACTTTGTCTAAAACTTCTCTTCCTCGCTTATATTTATGTATTTTGAATCACCTATCATTTGCATATCTAAGTATTTGATCACCTTTCAAATTTGCAGTATTGCATGTGTCTCTGTCTTTAAAATAGTTGCCTTATGATTTCTTCTATTGCAAGATGATCAAATACTTACACATTTTATGCTCATTAGATGTGTACATACTTTACTTAACCAAATCTATTTCTTGCAAAGATTTTACTGGTGAAGATAATTTGGTTCGATTGTATTGAATCAAACGAGTTTCAGACTGAGTGATCCTAATCCGGCCCATTAGCCCCTAAACAGACCCATTTTAGCTTACTCACGTGTGAACGATAGCAAATGTTCAATAATCCCACTTATAACGCAGATTTTAATACAGTAATAACACCTAGTTACCCACTAAGCTAAGCCACTAAGCACTAATTATCTCACAATCTAATGAGCTTCCCACGTAATTACTTTGGCCTTTTCACTCTACCAATTTACTTGTAACAGTCAATCTCCAAGTGTCTCTATATAAACTCTCTAAGGTTTTCACTCAATTCTCATCACAAACACAAACAAATCAACCAGACCCACTTCTACTCTTTCTTCTTTCGACCTTATCAATCTGTTGAGAAATGGCTACCAAGTCCAGTTTCATGACTACCTTCAACGTTGTGACACTCGTACTCATGGTGGTTTCTTCTTCCACTGTGACAGCTCGCCCTCTCATGAAACCGTCCATGGGCTCGTCTTCTCCTACCTCAAGCCTTGTGTACAGGCTCAGGCTTGATGAAGATACAGGTTACTGCTGGGACTCACTCATGCAGCTCCAACACTGCTCCGGAGAGCTCATCTTGTTCTTCCTCAACGGTGAGACTTACATTGGCCCTGGGTGTTGTAGTGCTATAAGAACCATTGGACGCAAGTGTTGGCCTACTATGATTGGTGTTCTTGGTTTTACTGCTCAAGAAGGTGACATGCTCCAAGGTTACTGTGATGGCAATGACTCTGACAACAATGGTGAGGACCATGCTCTTGCCTCCTCACCACTGCCTCTCTCCGTGGATTTCAAGCCTATGGTTGTTAGATCTTCTTCTTCTTCTAACCCTTGAATCTTAGTATTCAGGTTTACACTCCTGCTATGTTTTCTTTTGCTAAGAGGAATTTAGTCTTTATGTAACTGGAGAGGAATGCTTTAAAAATAGCTTCTCTGTTATTACTTTGAGAATAAAAGATCATCATTACTCACAACAAGGTTTTACAAATCTGGCAAACATAACCTTCTTCTTCTCAAATTCTCCAAGTTAAATCAACCGAAAAACCTATCGCTAAGCCCTGATTCGCTCAGGGACAGTGGAAAAACACACCAATAATTAAAAAAGAGTTCATGATCCATAACTATGGCTTCACTTTTAGAGAATCCTCAATTCGTTGGATGAGTTGTTTGGCCGTCAAAGCACCCTCCTGGAAGTCATAAGGAAAGAAACGTTTGTGAGTGAGATTAAGAACCTTAAAGGAAAACAGAGTTATTAAAAGGCATGGAAGTCATCATACAAAGCGATCACAAGGTTCCCCATCTTTGAATAGGATGAAAGTAGGAAGTGCCTCAATCTTGTATTTATTGGCAATACTCGGGTATTTTTCGGTATCAATCTTCACCACCTGGATCTTGTCTTTCAGGGTTGCACTCACTTCATTGAGTATAGGAACCATGAACTGGCAAGGACCACACCTGCCAAACAAACAACATTACATTCTGATTCACTCGCTTTCCAAAAATCATCTGTTTTAAAAATATACTCAAACTAAACAAAGTATACTCATTCATGGTTAAGAGTCTTTATAAGGAGAAAATGTAGCTAGCTAAACACATGTTATATCATTTGACACCAAAACAAACTCACCAGGTTGCATAATAGTCAACCAGAACTGGCTTATCAGAGTTCACAAGCAGATCCTCAAAGGAGTCAAATGTCTGCTTCTTGGCTTCAATCTGAAGTAATAACAACAATGGTTTGTCAATTAGTTTCAATCTAAATCGAGAAGTAGATAAAGGTACTCACTTTAAACCAATTTCAAACCCTAGAGAGAATCAGCTAGGAACTACAATGAGAAAATACACTATACAAAGACAATCATCAGCTCTACGATCACAAGAAAGTTTCAAGCTTGAATTCGAATATTGAACAAAATATGAGCATTGGAAAAAGATGCTTAAGCAGAGAAAGGAGATTACAAGTCTAGGAGTGCATCGAGTCGTTGAAGATAAAGAGGGAAACTTTAAGTCTCCGGTTCGAACCCGACGAACCGGAAACTGAAATTTGACGGCGGAGATAGAACGAGAAGCGAAAGAGAAACACTAAACGATTCTTTCGAATTCAGCGACGGGATCGTAGACGAAGAGAGAGAAATCGCCGCCATGAAATAATCAGAAATAAGAACACGATCTGTTGATTCGGCGTTGGTAGGTTGATGATGACAAAAAAAGTTGCACACTTTTTTCCTAAAGGAAAATGACAGAGGGTGATGGTCCAGTACGGTCGAGTGCACCGTATCTTTAGTTTATTTTATTTTGTTTTAGGCCCACTGCCCACATAAAACCACAAACATGTTATAGGCCCATATAAACCAGTTCGGATAGGTTCCAGTCGGGTTCGGTCTGGATAAAAATATTTTGACCCTATAAATACCCAAAAAATTTGGATAGCCGTTCGGTTCGAGTATTTTGTATGTAAAATATCGGGTTTTGTGGAATCACTAATGACCACGGATAAATGACGGGATGTAAAATCTGATTAGTTTTCACAATGTCGTATTAATTTAGTCTTTGTAAAAACTTTTTTAAAAAAAAAGGAAAAAAAAAAGAGTTGAAAACTTTTGATAAAAAAAAGTAAAAAATAAATACTAAATATACATTAAATGTTTTCACATGTTAGATTTGTGCAATCGCTAACGACCACGGTTAAATAGCGGGATCCAAAATCTGGTTAGTTTTCACAACGTCATGTTAATTTAGTATTTGTAGAAACTTAAAAAAATGAAGAAAACGAACTTTCAAAAAAAAAAAAAGTTGAAAACCTTTTGCGAAAAAAAAGGAAAAAATAAATACTATATATACATTAAGATGTTTTCACATGTTGGATTTGTGGAATCACTAACGACCACGGTTAAATGGCGGGATCCAAAATCCGGTTAGTTTTCACAACGTCATGTTAATTTAGTATTTGTAGAAACTTAAAAAAATGAATAAAACAAACTTAAAAAAAAAAGAGTTGAAAACTTTTGAAGAAAAAAAAGTAAAAAAATAGATACTAAATTTACATTAAGATGTTTTCACATGTTGGATTTGTGGAATCGCTAACGATCACAGTTAAATGGCGGGATCCGAAATCCGTTTAGTTTCCATAATGTCATGTTAATTTAGTATTTGTAAAAACTTTTTAAAAAATGAAGAAAAAATCTTTTAAAAAAGAAGAAGAAAAGAGTTGAAAACTTTTAATGAAAAAAAAAGTAAAAAATAAATGCTAAATTTACATTAAGACGTGAAAACATGTTGGATTGGTGGAATCGCTAACGACCATGGTTAAATGGCGGGATCCAGAATCCGGTTAGTTTTCACAACGTCATGTTAATCTAGTATTTATAAAAGCTTTTAAGAAAATGAAGAAAAAAAATTTTAAAAAAGGAAGAAAAAAGTTGAAAACTTTTACAGAAAGAAAAGTAAAAAGTAAATGCTAAATTTACATTAAGATGTGAAATCATGTTAGATTTGTGGAATCGCTAACGACCACGGTTAAATGACGGAATCCAAAATCCGGTTAGTTTTCACAACTTCATGTTAATTTAGTATTCGTAAAAACTTAAAAAGAATAAAGAAAAAAAAATTAAAAGAAAAAGAAGTAAAGAGTTGAAAACTTTTAAAGAAAAAAAAAAGTAAAAAACAAATGCTAAATTTACATTAAGATGTTTTCACATGTTGGATTTGTGGAATCGCTAACGATCACGGTTAAATGGCGGGATCCAAAATCCGGTTAGTTTTCACAACGTCATGTTAATTTAGTATTTGTAGAAACTTAAAAAAATGAAGAAAACGAACTTTCAAAAAAAAAAGAGTTGAAAACCTTTTGCGAAAAAAAAGGAAAAAATAAATACTAAATATACATTAAGATGTTTTCACATGTTGGATTTGTGGAATCACTAACGACCACGGTTAAATGGCGGGATCCAAAATTCGGTTAGTTTTCACAACGTCATGTTAATTTAGTATTTGTAGAAACTTAAAAAAATGAATAAAACAAACTTTAAAAAAAAGAGTTGAAAACTTTTGAAGAAAAAAAAGTAAAAAAATAGATACTAAATTTACATTAAGATGTTTTCACATGTTGGGTTTGTGGAATCGCTAACGATCACAGTTAAATGGCGGGATCCGAAATCCGTTTAGTTTCCATAATGTCATGTTAATTTAGTATTTGTAAAAACTTTTTAAAAAATGAAGAAAAAATCTTTTAAAAAAGAAGAAGAAAAGAGTTGAAAACTTTTAATGAAAAAAAAAAGTAAAAAATAAATGCTAAATTTACATTAAGACGTGAAAACATGTTGGATTAGTGGAATCGCTAACGACCATGGTTAAATGGCGGGATCCAGAATCCGGTTAGTTTTCACAACGTCATGTTAATCTAGTATTTATAAAAGCTTTTAAGAAAATGAAGAAAAAAAATTTTAAAAAAGGAAGAAAAGAGTTGAAAACTTTTACAGAAAGAAAAGTAAAAAGTAAATGCTAAATTTACATTAAGATGTGAAATCATGTTAGATTTGTGGAATCGCTAACGACTACGGTTAAATGACGGAATCCAAAATCCGGTTAGTTTTCACAACTTCATGTTAATTTAGTATTCGTAAAAACTTAAAAAGAATAAAGAAAAAAAATTAAAAGAAAAAGAAGTAAAGAGTTGAAAACTTTTAAGGAAAAAAAAAGTAAAAAACAAATGCTAAATTTACATTAAGATGTTTTCACATGTTGGATTTGTGGAATCGCTAACGATCACGGTTAAATGACGGGATCCAAAATCCGGTTAGTTTTCACAACGTCATGTTAATTTAGTATTTATAAAAACTTGAAAAAAAACGGAAAAAAAAAATACTTTAAAAAAAGGAGAAAAGGGGTGAAAACTTTTGAAGAAAAAAAAAGTAAAAAAAAAAAAAAAAAAAAGAGTTGAAAACCGTTGGAAAAAAGAAAAGAGGAAAAGATTAAACTAAACCGAATATTTCGGTTCTAATGGACACAGGCCTGAAATTAATCATAGGCCCAATGATCCATAACTGAATATTGCTTTCCAGAGTACTCATTATTGATAGAAGGTATATACTATATACTAACTACTGATCCTTCCTACAGTCGATGTGGGACTCTTTGGTTTTCAACATGAAGGAAACGTGAGTTATGTCGGTGTTGATCTCTTATTTTTTATGTTAGCCCAATAATAAAGCCCATTATTTGAAATTTCTTTTAAAAAAACCACACACCCATGCATAGTTAGTTACTTCCCGCCAACGCAAACTGGGACAGTTAAAACCGTTGAAAGTAACAAAAGACAAACCCAGGACTCAGTTTTTGAGTTTCCTGAAGATGGAAGTCACGAATATATTCTTGTAGGCCTCTTCAAAAAAAGAAAAATGTGGACTAGATAGAGACTTTAACAAAAACTAAAAACAGATGCATTAAAAGAAGCACAACACAAAAAGATGGAGCTTGAATTAGGTCTAAAGATCACTCGAACTAAAGACGATGTTTCTTCCTCTACAGATTTTAGGGTTACCAGTGATTCTTTTGGTCAGCTATCTCTTTCTCGAGAAACCAACTCTGTGTTTTTCCTCATTCTTCATCTCAAAGGTTCCATTTAAACATTTTCCCCTCTCATAGATATTCACCTTTTTTCTTACCTGCATAGAGATTGAGATTGAATACCAAATGCAGGATTTAAGAAGGAAGGTATCGATATCGAGATAAACAAAGAAGGGAATCGGATTAAGATCAGCGGAAGCAAAAAGGTAGAAGAGATGGTTTTGGTAAAGTGGGTGGAGTGGAAAAAGGCAACAGAAATCAAGGAATTCAAGAAAGTGTTTCGGATTCCAGAAATTGTTAATCTTGACAAGATCAAAGCGAGGTTTAATGAAGAAGATGGGACTTTAACGGTTACAATGCGTAAGAAGGTTAAGGGGATTACCGGTTTAAAGATCAAGGAAGAAGAGGAAGTAAAAGATGCAGTAGTGGAAGAGAAAACAGAGGAAAAAACAGAACCAGAAGAAGAAATCAAAGAAGAGCCAAAACCTGAGGAAGAAGAAGAAGAACAGGAAGAAGCAGAAGAGCCACAGAGAGAAGAGGAAGAAGACAAGATTGGAGAAGAGGTTGTTGAGGAAGAAACAAGGGATCATGAGGAAAAGAAAGAAGAAGAAATTGAAGATAAACCAAGAAAGAAGAGAAGAAAAAAGTTCCGTTTACCGTGTTTTGCAGGATCCACTCTGCTTATGTCTATTATTGTTTTCATCATTCAATTGATTCAATCCAGAAAAAAATGAGACCACACTACTTAGATTTTTAGGATAGGGTTCTTGTTGTTTTTTAAGGATAGAATAGAACCCATTTTCTTATTATCTGTTTCTGTAAGAAAAACATCAATATGTATTATGAGTTTTGTGTTGTTTCACTGGTCCTCTAAGAGAAAATAAAAAAACTAAATTGAATCTAAAAAGATTTAAAGTTGAAATCACATATTCAGTATAATGCTTTCTTATAGAAAAAAATCAAAATCGATATGTAAACTCTAATTAAGATGAATAATTTGTTGAATTGGTTACTTGAGGTCAAGGCAACAAGAGAGAAAAAGGCGTTGACCATGTGACTATTTTCAAGTCCTACAGCGCAAGCAACGAATAAATAGTCCTTCTCGTTATCTTTACTCTTTAGTGGAGCATCGACAAATCAAAAACCTTAGAACACACCAAAAATCTCCAGAACAGAGGAAAGGAGTTAATAATGGAACTCGAATTGGGATTAAAGATCACAAGAACGAGAGAAGATGTATCATCCTCGGTGGATTTTCGCTTCTCCAAAGACCCATTTGGCCCTCTGGTGCTTTCTCGAGAAACCGATTCAAGGTTCATCATCATCATTCATCTTAAAGGTCAAATATTGTTACTGCAGTTTTCTTGAATTCTGTCCCTCTTTTTTTTAGTCTGCTGTGCTCAACGAATGGGACAATTAGGGTTGATAGTGATAGATTTAGGGTTTAGTGTTCTAATTGATTAGAAAAAACTGATAAGCGAAAGTTAATTTGGGGCAGGATTCAAAAAGGAAGGTATTGAAATTGATATAAACGAAGAGGGAAATCGGATTACGATAAGAGGAAGAAAACCTGTGGAAGAAATGGTTCGCACGAGCAACGCAGCTCGTCA